AATACCAGAACTATGACCAGATGTTAAATTAATATGTATAGCTGGATGCACTGTGTTATTTCCTTCACTAGTGAAACCCTCAAAAACTTCTTTAGCATTAATCGACTTTGTTTTATATTCAGTGTAATGAGAATGGAATAGCATTGCAAGAAGCAGTGTAGTTAATGTAGTTCTTTTGTGTCTTGAAAAATGACTTCTAAGCATGAGCAAATGTGAATGAAAGTTCCACATTCATTCAGCTCGCTGTTGCAAAAAACAAATGATTTCCCTTTCCTTTCTTACTTTATTTTTGAAACTTCCTTATCCTGTGTTTGCTGTGTAGCTCTGTTTGGTGATGTTGCAGGCCGGAGTACGTTAGCTGCTAAAAGTACATCTGAAACTTCTTGCTTATGGTAAAAAAAAAAAAGGCAAACATGCGTGTTGCAGCCCCTCGGGTAGTTTTGAGAAGAATATAAATATGATGGTGGTATCCTCTGTTTCTACGAGGTGAGAGAACGCTGTGAGATGATGCTATATTCGTGACGGATGTGATCAGCTTACCTTGGCAGGAGATGTCTCAGCACCGGATTGTAGCTATCACTTTCACCACATGGCACATCTGTATTTATATACTTTGTGGATGCCTGTACCAGTAAACAGGAAGGAATTAGTGCATGGGAGGCTGAGACTTTGGTTGTGAGCTGATGACAGGGTAGGCTGGAGGGGAGGGAATATCAATGGAAAGGAGTATCAAATGGGACAGAAAATAGGGCATGCTTTTGCGTATGGCTGCCTGCAGCAAGGAAGATGAGTATGGATCCAGGGAACAGTGCCCACTTGTAGCACAAGAGAGACCACTGAAATGACTGGAAAATTGACTTAATTTTAAGGTGGAAACAGACTGTCTTTGGCTGGGGATACTGGAACAGGTCCTACCCACCCTTTGGGGCAGTTATCTCCTGGATGAGAAGTGGCATAAATGAAACTTCTATTGTGAAAAAAATAACATTATTGCTTAGCTGTACTCAAATCTTTCCTGCAGGAGACATTCCTCATCAAACACTCATAGTGGGATTTTTCAGAAGAGACTGGCACAGCCTTTGCTCTGCCACTGAACTCCATGGAGGTGCCACAGGCTTTGGTGGGAAAACAAGCTAAGTCAATCTGGAGTGCTTTGGAAAGTCCAGTCTGGAATGGATCCTGGCAGCATAACTAGATAGGGATTGGAGGTGATGCTGAAAATGTCACGTAGAAATTTTCCATGCTGGCTAACAGTATCCTCTTCATCCCCTCTGGTTTAGAACTAATGGAAAGCAGTGTGTGGAGAAGCATGACTTTCAGGGAAAGGAAAATCAGCATAGAAAGTAATAAAAATACCCAAATTTCCTCTCTCCTCTGTGTCTTTCGTCAGGACAAAGGCTTCACTGCAGAACTTTCCTTCTAACCTGAGATTGCTGCTTAACTCTTCATGTGCATAGTGTGTAATGCTCCTTCAGGACAGGATACTGCTGAAGTGGGATGAGCAGATCTGTGTCTTCCCCAGAGTGAAAGGCACTTTCTCAGATGTGGGAGAGGAAGGGGAAGAGCATTACAGAATTATAGAATGGCTTGGGTTGGAAGGGATCTTAAAGATTATCTAATTCCAGTCCCCATTTCACATCCTTTCTGTCAGGTTGCCTGTCTTACATAGGGTTAGGGCACAGAGACTGCTGTATCAGATCACGTCCTCTTGACATGGAAAAAATGTAGTTTGGAAGGGACCTCTGGAGGTCTCTAGTATAATATTCCACTTCAGGCACAACAAGATTCAGAGTTTGGTGAGGCTACACAGCTGCTGAGGTGCAGGGCTGTATTCCCTGCTTGGTGTACAAACACAGCCTTTGCTGGCTATGGAGCAGTGACCCAGGAGGCTCCAGGTTTTGTGGTTCTCCTGCTGTAAATGCAGTGACTGGAGCCCAGTCCTTGGCATTTTCCAAGGCTGCTGTTGTTCTCTAACAAGCTGACACTGTTGTCACTCAAAGGGAAGTCTTCAGCAAACTGCTCATTTTCCTCATTCGCATAGATTTCAGATCTTCTGATAGGAAAAAGCCATACAAATAACAAATTATGGTTTCAGGAGTGAAAATTATGATTTCATATATGGCAAATTCACCTATTTATTTATTTATTTATTTTGCTTGAATGGCTCCCTTGGCCAGCTTGGTGTTAGTCCCCACAGCAAGAACAAACTGCTCTTCAAAGTGGGTGGCATTGCTGAAGAACAATACTGTAGTCTCTTTAAGAGGCAGCAGTGGGGTTTTTAAGTTTGGTGTGTACTTTAAAGGCATGCTGTGGTACTGTTGGTGGCCAGGTCTGGCCCATGCCATGCTCTACTGGGATCTATCACCTTTCCCTTTGAAAAACTGGGAGGGATTGCCAAAGCCAGGATTCTCTCTGCTGCCACAACTGCCATGTCGACATCCGTCCAGGGGCAGTGAGGGATTCAAACTGGATCACTGTGAGCTAATGTCCACAACAACTGTTTGGAGCCCTCAGTGTTTTGGGACTTCTCTTAGTCAGGAATTTGTCTATGTCAGTTGCCTCTGAGCAGCTGAATATTTTCATGACTGCCAATTTTGTCTGTTGAATTCAAGCAATTTTGCCTGCTGTGACAGTGTTTTTCCCAAGGAATATTAGGGATCACTTTGAATACTGTTTTAATTTTGGCTATTTTTTCACTGACAAGCATCCTGACAGGAAAGTGTCTGTTCATATCTAGTGTCTAAGTGAAATGCCTCTGTCAGTGCCATAGTGCCTTTGTTCTCTTTAGCTCCATTATAATGCTACTGTGCTAGCAGAATTCAGTTTTAACCACATCAGCAATCTTGTAACACCACTTTTGTAGCAAGGAAATGGCTGGCTGGAGAAGGACTATATATTAAAAAAAAAAAAGAAAAAAAAGAAAAAAAGGGGTTGATATGGGTATAAAAAGTGTTGGTGCCATTTGGTATAAATTGTAATCAGTTCCAGACTGCTGCACTCAAACTTGAATCAAGGAATTGTACTTAGTGGTTTTTGTATTTTTAGGGTTCTCACCTAAACCACAGCTCTTGTAACCAGTAAATGGCCACAGCCATGGTGTCCAATCCCTCCTCTTAACGATGTAAAGAAAATGTTTATTTAACTATGAATTGAAATTGTATTCCTGAGCCCTGCAGCTTTTCAGGTGAAGTGCCAGAACCAGTCACACTGCACTGGGGCAAAGTAGGTGGGCTCAAGGCCTGGGTTCAGATAAACTGGATTTCACTTAATTCCTTCAATTGTATTTTGTTTAAGGCATTTCTGAAGGCCTGGAGCCAGTCAACATGGGAAAAACACTGGGATCTGAATGGAATTTAGGCCGGTTGATATGCTTCTGGCTCCCTCTTTGTCTTAAGTCAAATAACGTGTAAAAAGAGGCAAAAGGAAAAGGCAGAAACATGCAGAAAGTAATAGGCTTGTGTAGTGTCAGCAGTGGATAAGTGCAGATTTAATGAGGCTGTTGAACCAGAATATTTCCAAGCTGGAGGCATGGTTTGGGTCAACTGCTGCACCTTTGAGTCAGGCAGGGGAGATGGAAGGACACACCAAAACCTCTGCTGTGTACTGCTGGTAACAGCAACAGATAGGCTAAGAGCTTATTGAGGCATGGGTTGTCTGGTTGGTTTGGGTTTTTTTGGACCCAGAGTGAGTGTGTGTCTGCCCGAACTTACTGCTACTGGTAGCTTTTAACCCTGTGACCAGTTTCAGCTATACGTTTAAGGAAGAGAGGACCAGAAGGATGGTAGTTTGAGGCCTTCACATTTTAATGAACAGCTAGAAAGCAGTGATGCTTGTTGTGAGCAGGCCAGCTGTTGGCGTGGCAGCGGCTGCATCACTGCTCGTGTGGCCATCAGCCCTTCCAGCTGCAGACCTGTGCCTGGTGGGTAGGAATATGCAAGGAGCTGGAGCTGGCCTGCTGAGGGGAGCTGTGGGGAAGGGCTGTAGGAAAACAGGCTTTGTTTTAGTGTTTTTTGCTCACGGAATGACTTGGGTTTGTGTTATTTCTCTGAAGTCACAAAGCGACTTGGAGTGTATATTGTTTGAGAATGGCAAACTCCCAGGCTATTCTAAACTTGTTGTTTTAAAAAGATGCAATAAATCAGCAAGGAGTCAATCCTTGGCTCAGAATTACTTGGTCCGCACAGTGTTTGTCCTGAAGCAAAGGCTTTTAAGGGTACTGAAGTTTAACTGTCATTTCCTTAGCTGTCGCACTGGGATTCTCCTGGGAGCAGCAGAGACTCACACTGCCATCCTAACTCCCTAACTGGGGGAGGGTTGGAGCAGTACTGAGATGTGGAAGCCTGAGGCTGCAGTGCTGGCTGTGATGGCAGCATAGGGGTGTAAGCCAGCTTTCACAGATGAGCCCAGCCCATTTCTGAGGCAGGAGGAGGCCATCCAGGGGAGAGAGATTGGGAAGTTTCACGACAGCCAAATGCAGAACAGAATTCTTTAATCCAGATTGCAGGGTAACACCTTTCAGGAAGAATTTCTTTTAGCAAGGATTATCAAAGATATATAAAAAAGAGAATATAATCTAATGTGAAAGTACTCAGCTCCTTACAGCATAGTTCTATAACGTGGTGATGATGGGAAGCTCCTAAAAGTTCGGGGAAAAGCCACAGATCTTCAGAAGAGTGCAGCTTCTTCGCATGTGAAAGAGCTGCTCTGTTCTCAGAAGTACAGCTCTCTGTTGTTACCCTGCTTTCAGTTTCTCCACTTTTAATTCTCGAGCATCCGTTTCAGGCACTTCTCTGCTTCTTGAGGATATGTGGATGTTCACAAAAAAGAAGGATGAAATAAGCCCCAGCAAAACTCCTTTCAATGAAAGGAAGGTTCTGGTAACTTTGGAGACAGATTTGATCAGTCTACAGAGCTACATACTGGAGGGACAATGATTTAGTGAAACTGTTTCTGAATTCTGAATCCTGCTTAGATACTGAATGTGTTCTCTTAAATTTCAGGATGCCTCTTTTTAATGAAGTAGTGGACTCAGCTCTTGTGGGCAAATCATCATTGATAAGGAGAGAAAAAGAGACACCATATGTGAATTTTCAACTGTCATCACAGAGAAGAATTTCCATCAGTACCTTAAACAGAAGTTGACTGGAAGGAAGCCACAGCAGTATGTTAAGAGTTTTCAGTGGGTATGTCTCAGCTATAACTCTGCATATTGGTTTTTGAGATTTTTGTGGAGAAAATTTAAGGAGATAATAGGCTGTAGAAAATTTAAATTTAAGCAGGACAACTATGAGCCCTTTAGCTACAGAATTTCCTAGCGTGATCAGATCTTTCTTCCTTTTCTGTAACCACAGCAGATAAGCAGGTAGTTTTTCTTCTAATTTTAGATAAGCTGTAGCGTTCCTCTTCTGACTGAGGAGAGAGACTGGCCCTCCATCCTTCTCCTGCTTAACTCCAGAATAAAGTTGTACATGTCTGATATTTTGCAAGTAGTCTTTTCCTCGTAGATACCTCCTAACATTTTTATTTGGGACAGTTTCCTTCATTTTCCATAAGTCAGATCTTAAATGTACAATGTCTTCACTTGTCCTAGTGTCAGACTTTGGCAGTTGCAGAGGAGAGGCCCTGAGAAGGACCCATGCTTCCACAGCGAACAGGGACAGGGGCTTTAACGAGACCTACTGAGCTCTTAGTACTTAAAAGGATGCAGCGTACAGCATTTTTAGTTCTGTGACTGACCTAAATATTGTAAAGTACTCAGACATGAAACAAGTGTTCCTTTTCTTTGGTGAAATGAGAAATAAAAATCAAATTTTCAGGCAATTTAAAAGTCTCATTTTATCCTTTTCCTCTTAATGCAGGGCAGGTCTGAAAGACACAACAAAAAATGTTTCATTTGGAAAACATCACAAGGACCTGCTGTAGGATTGCCAAAGTAAACTGTTTCATTCTAGAGGAGGTCGAAGTGAAACATCTGTCAGTCTGGTAATCTTTGTGTCCTTCCACTGAAAAATGGAGCCGATGGGAAGGAACAGTTCAGCAAGCAAAGAAAAGGAAATTCTCCCTCTTCTCTTAACTATTTCTGAAAACTGAGCCATCATACTGAAGAGCCTGATTTGCAGACTTAGTGGGAATTACGCCTGAGCCAGGTAGCAAGAAAAGTTCCATGGAAGACAACATCCAAGTCAAACAATTTCTGTAGGTCTGGGTTTGAAATCCTCACCCTGCAAGTCTTAACTTCAGCCATCAGCTAACTCAGTTTCTGGTCTTATTAAAACAAGATGAGAAGAAGAAAAACAGCCAGGCACCTCCCTCGCACTGCTGCAATGTAAGTTAATTCTAGTACTGTGAACACCCTAGGGTTACATTCATGTAACTTAAATACCAATAAGGGAAATAAAAAAGCCTACAATTAGTAAATAGCTTTTTCTAAAAAAAAGGTGATTTTATTGAGTTTTAATATACAGCTTTAATATGTTAGGGTAATCATACAAGATCTCTCGTGTTCAATTTACACATTACAATACAGACGTGAGCTAAAATCTTTTGTTTTAATGTACAAAAGGAATCCAATGTTGTCCACTAGCAGCTTTGAACTTGGCAAGAAAGGTTCTAGAAACTTTAAGTGCAGTAACAACCATACAGAATACAAAATGAATACAAGGACTTTTCTCCAAGGTATATAAACATTTGAAAACAAATGGTGCCTGCTCCACAGGGCAGACAACTGGCAAATTAAAACAAGACACTGACCAATGTTCCAGAGTAGAAGGAGCATTACCCTGTGTAACAGTTCTTATAAAATATCCTAAGAATATCTGTATCAAATAATTTGTACTGATCAGAAAAAAGGTCTGAGAAGAAACAGTAGGCAAGGAACTGAACAATCAAAAATGACATAGTAATATAAAATATTTCCATCACTATTTAAATGCCAAATTAAATCAAGCAATAGTAAAAACAAAACAGAAACAAAAACAACAACAAAGAAACAGAAAACTAAAGCTCTTCTGTTTGAAATAACAGCACTGTTTTTGCTTATTTTCAATGATTTTTTTTCTTATGAACACACTATATACTTGATTATTTCTTTCATACAGAGTAATGTGTCCATTTGGTTTGGTCTGTCACTTCAGTGAAGCTGACCAGCAGTCAGCCCATCACGTCTCACCTTTGACACATATTTAATGCTTTTTTCCCCTTATGTTCACTACTCTGGTGCCTCCTTCTTCTCAAGTTAAATACTTTTTCTTCTTTATACAGTGCAGAGTATATGGGCTTAGGATATGGAGATTTTCCTCTACTCCAGTTCACTGTCTAGTTCTGAGTTCAGTGGTGTGCAGTAGTTTGGCTTGTCTGAAGGTACGTACCCTGGGAGACACAAACACTTGTACGAACCTTCTGTGTTAATGCATTTGGCGTTCTTGCAGAGAGACATCCTGTTGTTCAGCTCATTGCACTCATTCACATCTGCAAAAAGTGGACAGCAAAACACATGTACTTCAGCATGTAGGTAAAACATTTATTTCCAGCATTGGCAGGAGCAGAGTAGGCTGTAGGAAGACACTGAGAATTATGCATTCAGTTGAGATCAGGTGGTAATAGGCTAGCCCAAAAACTGTAACACACAAACCTTTTGTTGGGAAGAAGTGGTAGTTACCATAGGAAATCAGTGTATTTGAAAACCTTAAATTGTTACATTACTTAAGCGGTGGCACAAAACTTCAATAACCACTTACAGGTTTCCATTTGATTGCATGAAAGTAGCTTTATGAGAAGAGTGTTGCTGGTTCTTAGTATAATATCTGTATTTAAAAAGCAAGTATTTCAGGCCTTGCTGGTGCTGCCAACAAGACAGGTATGAACAGCAAATTACCTGTAGTCCATAATGTGCAGCATTTGGCCTGAAACACCCAGAGCTAAGGAGGCCAATTTGCTGTAAAGTTCTAAAGATTACAAGGCATGCAGGTAAGCTTACCATGATACACCTAGGAGACCAAAGCTGTGCGTTACACAGCCCACTGCTGGCAGGGTGAGCACGGACACTGACAAATACCCACACACCCCCTGTGATAGGCTGTAAGCTGAGAAGTGCTGGTTGTTTTGCTTCATCTTCTACCTGCCGCTTCACCTTTCCCTGTTTTTTAATTGTATACACAGTCACTAGATGTCCTGGTTGTCTGCTGTGCAGACTGACTAATTTATGAGTGAGAGGACAGAATGTTTATTTTCACTGCTGAAATCAGTGAGAGTTAGTGGACCATGTCCTGCCAAATGGACATCTGAATATTTAGGAGATAATGCTTAAAAGCTGCTTAAAAAACTCGCTCCTGAAATTATTCTTCTGCTCTGGATCCACATCTATTCTCTATTGAAAAAGCTTTGCTCTCCGTGTTACAGTGTTGCATTGTTGATACAAGTTTAAGCTTCCTTGCACAAGGGTGTGTCTTTTCATTTCTAGGCTCTTAACTGAACACAGCTGTCAGGAACTGAGGAACAGCACTGCAGTTACTTCTGTAGCCCTTGCAGTAATGAAGATTAAATCGGCATATTTAATAGAACATCAGTAATCATCAGTATCCTCTTCTTTTTTTTTTTTTTCTTCTTAGCCTCTGCTTAGGTCAAGTGACCGAATAAAACTGGCACACTAAAAGAAGAATAAGTAGTAAATACGCTGTGCTCACCAACGCAAGTCATCTTGGCCATGTCCAGGTGATAACCATCAAAGCAGTCGCAGGTGTAGCCTTCCTGGACTCTCACACATCGGCCATTTTCACATCCGTTCAGAATACCACACTCCTCTGCTTGTAACTCCTCAAAGCTGTTCAGAAAACCTGAGCGAAGAAAGAATTACCAACAAGTAAGTTAGTTATTGCACTGCTGAATGAATATATACACCCAAACAGAGCGAGACTGAAATTCTCTTGGAGGTTTGCTGGAATGTGAGTTGACTTTGCAGAATGCAGGTCAGCTTTAGCAGAGTTACACCATCTGGAGTCATAAATGCACTAGAAAAGTGCTCTGATGTTTCAAGATGAAAACTGAATGACTTAGTGAATGCTGTATTTTAAAATTGTGTTTAAAAACCCGAGGGTTGGCTTTTTGGTTTGGGATTTTTTATTTTTTTTTTAATTTATATATATATTTTTTTGTAAATGAAATGGCATGCTTTGTCTATTTTTTAAAGGATAAATCAATGTTTTCTCAGTTGCACATTTTATTTTAATATTTAAATATATCAACTTTTGTGTAAACAAAGGTAAGCAGTGGTAGTGCAGTCTGGGACAAAAGTTCTTTACAATAGTATTCTAGAAAAGTGAGGTGTGCTTATGGGGGAAAATACTTAAATTCGATTGCCTTAAGGAAAGTAAGAAGAAATCAGATACTGCTTTACTATTGTGGGTTTGGTTAATAACTCTTTGGCTGGTACTTCAGCAATCAGTGCCAGTACAAATACTTGTAATCTACCCGTCGTTCCATGTCATAATTCTCAATGGTGAGTAGCCAAAGGCTCCCTGTTTCATTATGAATTTATGTATAAAGAGGGATATGTATTTAAAAAAAAAAAAGACATTTTTTTACACATTCAGAGATTTTCTGTAAGACTGAATTGCTCCTCTTAGTTCTGCGTAAGTTTTTCAACCAGCTTTCAATTCACTGAGCTGTTTGTAACAGGACTGCAGATGGCAGCCCATCACATCAAAAGGCCTTCTAAGGAAAACGGCTGGAGCGTGCGAGACTCTGTTGGCCTACCAGCATAATGAATATATAGCACAGAAGTGAAGGTGAAACTGGGGCTGGAATGGAACAAAGTATAATACATCTCCCCATCTGTCCCATAACGTATGATTAGTGGAGTGAACGCACAAACCATCGGTTTATGTAAAACCTGGTTACTTATTCACTGTTACAACAGTTGTAACCAATTTGCAAAGCCACCTTGCAATATAAATTTCTCTCCCTTTCCCGCTGCTTGTTCTGTCTTTTTCTATACATTTCATCCTGTCTTGGTTCTCGGGTCTCTCTTTTCTCTACTGCCTTGCTCTTTCTACTCTGCCCTTTTGTACTATCCTCCACGTCTATCCTTCAACTTCGGCTATACATACCACTTTTCTGTGATGAAAACGTTGGACCTACACCAAGTGGCTGCTTTTGAAGAATATACTGAGGTCTGTAAGGATTTATTTCCCTCAGGCCTTAACAGGAAGGTGGGCCAGATCCATCAACATCCTGGACATTCCTGAAGGACATCTGAGATGTTGTACACGATCCCTCACATCCTGCCTGCAGCCATTCCTGAAGGTTGTATGCATGCATACTCTCTGATCATCCTTTCTGTAGTTTCACTGCAGAGAGAGAACAGCTTGCGCGCTCTCCGTTTCTTCCATCTGAATTGTGCTGGAAAATCATGAAGTACTGGCATGGAGGTATTTTTTTCTTTTTCCCTTTTTTTTTTTTTTTTTTTTTTTGTGTGTGTGTGTGTGTGTGTGTGTGTGTGTGTGTGTCTCTTTTCAACTAAATGTACTCCAAAGAACTCTGTCCCAAGCTCCAGTGGAAAATTAATTTGTGAGAAAGAAAACTGGCGCTCCTCTCTACCTTCAGCTGTAAATCTGTTGGTAAATATAAATTTAGTGCATTTGGCACAGAATGTTCTACTGTATTAAAAATTAAAATTGCACTCTGAGCCCAAATGGACTCTTATACAACACAGGCTCTTGAACCAAAACACCTGACTGAAAGCTAATGTCATAGGAATAACTAAAAAATAAATAGGACACATTACTCAGAAGCAAACAGAAGAATAAAGCCAGCTACAGGGAAATAATCCAAGTTACAACCCTCATTTCAAGCATTTTACATAACAGAGAAACTTGCTTACGATCTTCAATGAAGTATGGATTAGTTTCTGGAGTGTAGTGCTCCTCAAAGTCAACCAAAGCATCTTGTCCATATGGCCGTCGAGATCCTGGAACAGGAATGTTGCACAGCTGGGCATAATCCTCTGAGGGGAGAAAGAAAAGAGGATATAAAACTAATCACACTTGTAACACAGTCTGCGTTGCATTAGTCGCAGTGTAGTGTGGCTCATATTAGCTGGAAATAAACTTATCTTCCTAGAAACACCATAAATCTGCGATTCCCACAAAGCATTGTCTCTTCAAGAAGAATGTCATTAAAATGTAACGAGCCAAGTGCAGACTATTAAGTCATAACGGGATAACACCAGGGATAGATTTCAGTAACTGCACCAAAAGTTATGGGTCATGTTCTTCTGGTCTGCTCTTGCCTTGAGCCGAGGGATGCTGTGTGTCCCACTGCCAGTGCACCCCTGACCAGAACTAGCTATGCTTATGCTCTTTGCTGGTTTAATAAAGGCTCTCCCAGCCCTTGTCTGCTAGCAGAAGACATCCCAAAGGAAGCAAAAGAAGCTGTATTTCTGGCAGTGCCAGCCAACCTGCAGAAATCTCAGAATAAAAACCCTTCCAAAATAGCATGCACTCCTTTGCAAACCATTCTTCAAACCACAGGCTTAATTGTTAATGCTGTTCAAGGTCTGCTTTGGCTGCAAACCTGACAGGGCAAGGGGAAATGTATGGGAAAAATAGCTACACTGAAATTCTGCCTCTTGAGTGAAAACATACCAAAGCAGCTCTTCATTTTAGGTGTCAGAGTCTGAAATGCTGGTGTACAGAGTTTGATTTTCTTTTTTTTTTTATTTATTGTGCTCCCTCAGTTTGTCTCCAGTATTTTTAGTAAACGGTAACTTATTTGAGACTGGAAACTCTGTTAAAATCCAGTAATCCAGGTGCTCCCTTACGCTTGCTACAGACTATTTAGCATCTGTTTCTGTGAAGATTGCCTGGTGTTCTGAGAATCAGGCAGAGTAAGGACGGGAACGAAAACCACCAAAAAGAGAGAGAGGAAAAAAAGCCCTAAGTAGATACAAAATCCAAGAATTGCAGATGGTTACAAAGCCAGAAACCTCATGCTGTGTTGAACTGTCCCAGACAGCAAATAGTCGGATATATCCAGACTGCCTCCAGACAGCCCAGAGGACAGCCCCTTTTGCTGCTCAGCACTGTCTTCTGGTTTTCCTAGGTACTATCATCTCCTTCACATGGGATGGCTTCACACTGTACCAAAAAGAATAAGGTGCTCAAAAGTCTGCTTGAATCCTGTGGCCAGCAACTCGGCTCTTGTGAATGTGAAACACTATACTGAGTGCAGAGCTTGTCATTGCATTTTGTAAAACTGCCACTGGGTTCCAGCCCACGTCTGCAGAATGCTACTTAGAAATCCTTCTAAACCTCAACCACCTTCTGCTCCAAGTGCGAGGGTTTTCTCCATTTTGCTCCTTTATATTATATTTAGACACAGTACTCTGTATGCCTGAACAATCCTCTCCTCCTCACCCAGGTAAAAAAGGACACTGCCCAACGGAGATATGCCATGGTACTCAAACAAAACACAGCCAGCACAAAAAAAACGTTGGTATATAATGTTACCTACATTCCTTAACGCACAGCTTCCCACTGAGTTACTATAATAACGATCAGTTCTAACAGTTGTTACGAGAAACACCTTATTTTTTCCTTTCCCCTCATTTTACCTCAAAGTACAGGAACAGCTGGGTTGTCATCTCAGACTGACTCTTCCATTCTTTTATGCTGAACTACTGATCCTTTGCTGGTCACGTGAAATGTCTGCATTTTTAGGTCTCATTATAACTGAATTAGCAGCAACAAAATGATGAAGAGTTGTCTTAGAGCTTACTGTAAGATTTGCCTTTGTTACAATGAGTTTTAACTGTATCAATGTCTTCCACAAGGCTATACTTACAACTGTAATACTCTGTTAAACTCTTGGAGTCCATCATGCTTAATTAACCATTTGTTAATGCAATCTGATCCTTAATAGTCCATATATTACCTGTATATACAGTTCTAGTACAGAAGCTTGCAAAGCATTTAAGTAGTCTTAATTTTACAATGTATATATCTATAGTACCTATATAGAATGTACACACTTGTTTTGATACATACTGTGATGACTTCAAAATTACCTATAATAACCTTTGTGTACTGTATGCTCTTTTTAATTGTCCAAGTAATTGTTGATTCAGCTACTAGATAAAAACAAGGAGAGCAACAGCAAGCCACCTAAGAAATCATAAGCAGAAACTCAGGACCAATAACCAAATGCACCATGTAGTTGTACTTGCTTTTCTCCCTAGGGAAGGAAAGGGTGGGCAGAGAGGAAAGTACAAAGATTGGAAGGCCCTTAGGAGGGACATGCTATGGAAAATCTTGAGAACTGGCGTTTTGAATCAAAGTTAGTTAGAGACTTGGATGCCTTTAGATTCCCTCTTTGGATGATTGAACAGCATGATAGTTACAGGATGATAGTTACAGCAAGACAAATGTGTATGTATAATTGTTGTTTTAAACTTTTCCCCTAGCTATGCTATGTTCCTACAGTTCCAATTAAAAATATATTTTGGGTCACCGCACTGCGCTGGTCACAATTTCCCAGGGAAGCAATTTAAAACAAAGTGCTATAAGATACTTTGGTGAAGACATATGAATAGTGCACAGAAAGCTGCAGCAAGTGTACAAATGAGTGAACAGCATGATGCTGCCCTGGGGAGATGTCTGGAGGAGGATGACATCATGAAGGCAGGAGGGAGGCAGAGAACAAGGAGCAATCTCTAACAACCTCTGAATTACAAAAACATTTCAGCTGTCATAGAAATTAATGCTCGCTTTCAAAACAGTCTTTCATATAAAATGATGGAAAAAAGTGTTTTCTATAATCACAGTCAATGCTAGAACTTTTTTCACACAGATTCATTTTCTCTGCTAGCTCATCTTCTGGCTGCGATCAGCAATAATGATGCAACTACTGTTACAAGGGGCAATTAAAAGGAGTTAATCTGTGTTGCCTCCTGTTTTTCTGTGTTTTTCTCACAACATTGATATGAAGCATTGAGACAGCTTATTGTATAACATAGCAGAGCTATCATAAAAGGAAGCTGATTTATGCTTCCAAAATCATAAAGGACATTTTCTAAGGCAGATGCATGCACATGAAACAAATACATTATGGGATTACAGCTAGATGCTCATGCATACTGGCACAGATGTTAGCCATAATTGGTGGTGAAAGCTGGGCTGACAAGACGACAGAACATAAAAGGGATGGATTGACCACTTTGAGATTCTTGTTAGCACAAATGCAGCTGCACATATAATTTGCATAAAGATGTAACTGCACAAGCTTGTGCGGGCCTTGCTTGCACCTGGAGTCATAGAAATACTAAACTCTCTAGTCAGAAAAAACATTCCCTATTTCATGCATCTAAGACAAAATACTATATTAAAAAAGCGTTTCTCGACATAACCATGATTGAACCACAGCCAGTCCTCCCTCCTGCCTATAAAGCAAGCTTTATTTCTCTTCCAGCTTCTTAGAACTGTCATCATTGCACAAACTAAAAAGCAGCCAAGGCTATCAACATCATGGCAATCCCTTCATGTTATTTAAAAATGCAACAGATCGACTATGGAAGACATCACTGGAGGGAAGGACAAAGCCAACAAAACATGTGTTACATGTAATGAAGGTACCTTCCCAATCAGAGCTTCTGGACATCAGTCTGGATAGGCTGAGTTTCTGCTGTCTCAGGAGATTGCATCACTTGTGAACTGAAGCTGAAAATATTTCTGTAGTACCTTTAGACTGTGCTCTTTGACAATTTAGGTAATTTTATCAACATCTTTCACAAACAGATGCTGAGGTTTGTGGTAGACTGCATTCATATATATGCTACAACTCTTGGTACTCAAGAAAACACGAAGAATACTAGGACTTTTCATGACAGAAATGTCTTTGCATGAAGAAACTCTGATTGAAATTGCTGAGGAAAACTCTCAGTGGATATAAAGCTCTGGTTAAAATTGAAGGAAGTACCAACCTCGTGATATTAAAATCTTCCTTATGTTCCTCATCTGAGGCTGCTCATATTTCCTAAAACAAGCTTTTCTCCTACTGCTTGTGGTAGATTGTTAAAAGTCAGAGTGTTTCTGCCACAGCTTTGCAAATGGCCTTCTGACTCCTTGCTGACTTACATATATGCATGGAATTCCATGAGCAAAACCCTTCCAAAGTTATTCTACTACACTTCAGAAAAAATCATTGAAAATCATTGACAGAAATGAAAGCAGCCAAAAATCTGCACAATGGAGCATAAGACTTTAAATATTCAAGACCCAATCACTACTATTTTCTGTGCCCCAAAGGTAATTCATTTGTCCAGGATCCTTACCAGAAAGGAAGCAGGCACAATGCCATCCTAAATGGAAAGATGAACAATGATCTCCAGAAATCAATCCAGTGCCTCCCTGCTGATCTTTACCATCTTGAAAGAGTACAGATGGAAACTCATCGTTCATACACATTGGTTTCCCTTGTACTTCAAGATCTTCATGAGGGGCACCAGCCAGAACTCAGAGGGAACAACATGTTCTCATAATATGGAAGCTCAGCCCAGAACTAACTCAGAATGTTTACGAAGGATACACAAAGTTCCTTGCCACAAAAATGCAATCCAAATAATCTGTTCTGCCAGAAGCCATGAAGTTCAACCATCATATGTAGGCATCTCCATGGTCTGCACCTGAGTTAGTCATCCAGTGTTCCTTCTTAGTCCACTGAAAGACATCACTACTTTTAGGACACCATCTCATTCTGAAGTAGATGTCTGGAATAGTTCAGACAAATCTAACCATCAGGGTGCTTATTTCTTTTTCCTGGTGGAATGGGAAGCTGGTAGGGCTGAAACACATGTAGGTTTTCTATATAAAAAGCATGAAATTAGCCAAGAGGAATCCTACATTCTCCTACATAACACTCCAGATGACTCACGTTAGCCACTGCCCTCGGTAGTTCTCTCAGTAGTCTGGGCTTTGCCTATACTACAGTGGAGATAAAGAGAAACTTAAAGTGTAGCACAGGTCTTCAGCAGTTTCTGAACACAAAACACAATCAGAGAATTGTAGGATGGTTGGAGTTGGGAAGGGACCTTAAAGCCAACTAGTTCCAGCCTCCCTGCATGGACGTAGGCACTTCCTGTTAGGAAAGTATAAACTCCTGTAACATCTAGTGACTGGAGTTTTCATTGCTATTTCTGTAGATCTAAACATAAAATGGTTCCAGTTAAAATGCATACCCACGAAATGTCAGAGTAAAATGCTGAAAAAGTGTAAGTTTAAACAGGTAAACAGGCTGAAAAATGGAACAGCAGTATTCTCTACAGTTGCACAAATGTCCTAATGACATTATCTTAGTAGTCAGACCGCCAAGTTTTATACGCTACATATTTTGCTATAGATGCAGCAATGTATCCTCATCCTCAGTAAATAGTTATTAAAATGTCTGTAAGAAATGCAGAGCCCCAGTCCTACCACCTTTTTCCATATCAGGACTTCTCTTGGCAGCTACCTACATACAGGAAGAGAAGACATCCCCCTTAACAGGCTGGCATATCTTTAGTTCAGGGGCATTAACTCCACCTTCCTAGCATCCTAAGCTGCTTACCAAAGCAAAGGAGGTACTGCACTGCAAAAAACAAAGTCCTAGGCAGGTTTCTGAAAAACATTTTACAAATATAAAAACAGACAGTCTCCTTAAATTAAACACTGACCCTGACACACTTCCTTACTCCACATTTTCTAACTTCTATCCCCTCCCTTCAAACTTACTGTACCATGAAACAACACACCTTGCCTAACATTCATTTCCATCCCATAGAGTCTCACAAGAGCTTCTGGAGTCTCAGCAGATTTTTAATGCGGGTGTTACATGTTCAGGTTAGCATGAGAGGTCTATGGCCTAATTCTGGATTCCAGATTTTTTTCAGTCTTGGCCTATTTCTCCGTTTTCTGGCAGGGATACTTTGACCCAGCTGTTAAACCCATTGGAGTCTGTCTTGATGCCAATTACTAGAGCATGCACTCCATATGGAAACTGTTGGGTCTTCACAACACTAACAGTAAATTGAGTGAAGAAGCAGAGCATCTGAAGGCAGGTTGGCTGACAGGCTTTTTAAGGAATGGATCCTTTACTTTTGTTATCTAAAACAAAAATATCCACTTTCGCAAACTTTATCAATCTGTCAATTATTAGAGATTGCAAGTGATATTTAAAACTTCAAATGGGTTTTTAAGAAACTCGAAAGTTTCTTGACGACAATAACTGAAAGTTCTTTGGGCAAGTGCAGCTTAAGATTGCAGTAATTCCAGGAAAAGAACCAAAACTTTTAAATTTTCAAGACTTTGGTATTGGAAGCAAACATTCAAAGTCTTTTTCTGTAACATAATGATATCATAAGATTGTAATGTTAGAAGCAATGTAATTGGAATCAACCTGTCCTTGCTTCCTTCTTTTAATGACAAGAAGGCCTATCCTGCAAAATTGTTAATGCAAATAAGATACATTCAATCACATCACTATATTTGATGTTTGCACTATTTTTGTCAGGAATTTGAATTAGTATTTTTAGTTTATTCCTTGGTGGTGCCTTCAAAATACTTATTAGCCTTACCTCTGGTAATACGTTGCTGCTCAATTGCAATACTTAAACTATTGCTAATTCTTTTTGTCTCAGTCTCCAAATACGCAGCGTCATTTTCAGGGGTAATTGTTTGATCAAGCACCAGAAGGTAGGAAAATCCCCATCAGCAGTTTTCAAGAATGTGAGCAACTACATAAATTCCATGCTGATGAATGGATGGATTTATTTTTCATTTATGTGGATCAACTCTTTATCTCCCCACTGTTTCTATGCTGGATCTTATTCAAACAGGAAGTTTAAATCTTGTAATGAAAAATTCAAGTGCTTTCAGAAAAGGCTGGGACACCATATGCATTTGTTTTAGAAGGTGCTTAACATTCTATCACTCATAGCTGTAGCCCTGTATTTCCTTCTAACTGCAACATCTAGATCCTTGGGTATAAGATAATTAAAATAATTATGATATTTATGTCCTTAACTGTAAATCTTAAAGAAGTTATATAGGCAGAGTATAGATACTGTAAGAAGAAACTACAGATCAGCGAATGATCTAGTTATCTAATCCATTTCATGGTAAAAGTCTGTCAGTGGTAGTGCATCCCCATGTCTTCTTTTTCATGTGTCACAAATCTTCACAACGCCCCTAACTTGGAAAATAAGCAAACACCTTCAGTAGTAAATTTGGCCAACACAATACACAGCTATTTAAAAATGGAGAAATTCCAGGTTCCCCAGCCAGGACCTGAACCTGTGACCTGCTGGCCCAGAGGTGTGAAAGCACTCTCTTGAGCCAATGATATCACTTTAAGTGCTACAAACTGAAGACATATCAAATGAATCATTTATTCAGTTCAGTCAGCTTCAAATTTTTCTTGGTAAATGTTCCTGAAAACGGAGAAGGTTTCCAGGTTTGTGTGTGTGCACGTGCACATGTGCAAGGACACATGAGCATGTACCACCTACACTAAGGAATGCTGGTTTTTTTTTGACCTACTAAAGATTCAGTATGCTTTTGTTCTTTTTAACTCTCTATATTCCAATCCAATTTAAGTAGTCTAAGATCGAAGTATGCCTTGTACTTTCATTTCAGGCGGATATTTTGCAGTGCTCTTCAGCTTTGAGGATCATCCAAGTGACTTCTGGCATCTTGTTATCCGTCGTGATCCTTCATATCATTTCTTTAAAGAACTACTCATGTCCTTTCTAGTTAGTTGGGATCTGTATCCTGCTGTTGTCACAGGGTTTCTGCTCCAGAATCCTGTGGATTCTGGATGGATTAAAACCGATCTAATTTCAAGTCTAAATATGTTCGAACTGAATTTGTTCCCTCATTATCTTACATGGATACCGTTATTTAAAAGCTAGTGGGACTTATCTATGATGTTGATATAGCAGAACCTTACCATTTACAACCCTTATTCTGCATTTAAGTCTGGCTTTTTCCATTTACCCTTTTAAGATGGGTTCTCCATTCCATGACCATCGTGGTAGTTCTCTGTTCTTTTTCAGGTTTACTCTACTTTATTCTGCTCTGTCTTTCCATCTGAGGAGCTCCAGGTCAACACAACAATTCTCACCATGAATTATTGCCTTGTGTTTTTTTTTTTTCTTTTCTCATTCCATTTCAATTGTTATTCTAGCCAATGTAGTAATTTCATTCTGTACACGTCCAGCTTATGTCATACTGTTTTTCTTCTTCAGTCTCCTGAAGAAGAGTGAGCATTAACCAGTAATTACTCTGGCCAACACCAAAGTCAGATTTTTTTTTTCCACTTGCTGTACTTCCAAAGCAAACTCAAACACAGAAAGATATATATGAACAGTTCAAGGAACTTGCAAGTGAATTCTAAAAAGATAAAACCCAGGCAGACAAGAACACAGCTCCATTAGTACTTTGATAAGCTCTTCTGTGTACTTTGAACCATGTTACTGAAAGACACTTTGTAAGAAAGTCACATCCAAACTAAGCACTTCAATAGTTTATATGGAAGAAGTTACAGTGATTGCATACAAGTTATTATGGTACCAGATTCTATAATACCAGGGCTGTTAAAGGTACAGATGTATCACCTCATGTGCTGACATACAACTTTGTTGCTTCTATGGGTCTCTTCTCCAGTTTTCAGCTCACAGAAAATGTCTGTGTCAGTAACAACATATCTCTACATCTGTTTAGCTTTTGTACTCGCCACAAGACATAGTTTCTACTTGAAGTATCTTGGAACAATGTCTAATTTCTAAACGATAAACCAAAATGTAGTCATAAAAAAATATGACCTGCTAGTCAGTTTGTGCTCTAAAACACTCTTTAACATCCTTGGAAATCCTTTAGTCCTTATTGTACTTCATTTCCCTTACCTATCTTAAATTGCTTCTCTAAACATTTCATAATAAGCAAGCATGTAACCATATAATAACGACAATTTCTTTGATTTAGTGATTTGAAACCACTATTTAGCAGACCCTTATCAAGCAAACATCCATTTGCAGCCAGCCTGGCAGAACATCACACTGAAAATAGATCTGTATGTGTAATACCTGCAACAAAAATTGGAATCATTTATGTAGCCTGCTGAGTATTAGCATGTGTGCACATGAACTATGTGTATCTTTTCAGAGGTAGTTTTTAATTTCTCTTTCGTGGTAAGGAAATCTGCTACTCTTAAGATGCCCTCCTATTTTCACCAGGGTCCTACACTGCCAGTCACTGAGAGATTCACCCGAAAGAAGTGGGTCCAGTAGATTCCAAAAAGTAAAAGCAGTACATTTTCAAAATCTGGACCGTAATGGCTTCCCCTTATTTAGGGAGAACAATTTCCATTAGCTTTTGAAGGGTTGTGGGTTTTTTATTCATTATTAGCCCAGGTATAGGTGCAAGAGATTAAACACGTCAGAGTTTGTTCCAAGAATGGAAACGTTCATTTCCTTACCTGATTCTTTCATCGGACACAAGGCGCACTGCATGCCCCAGGCTTCACCATACAAGCAGCAGCACTCAGTGTATGTAGTCTGCTTTCCAACCAGAGGTCGACTACAGACAAAATCGTCACTTAGATGCTGCCAGCAAAGATCCTGGTAGACCTCAGTTTCTTCAGTTTGTTCTGATGGAGAAGACAGTATTACATCATATTTGCAGCACTATTGTTTAAAAAATAGATACTGGCATAACGCAGAGTTTTGTAAATACACACTAGAGATTAACCTAGCTTTACTATCCATGACAAGATCCATGACAAGACAGACTTTACTAAATACAAATTTAAGCATTTTTAAGTGCTTGGTGACTCATCCCTTGAGATTTTGATTTTTCAATGGCATTATTAGACACAAAATACACAAAAACTAAAATTTCCGAAGGAAATAACCATTCATTAATGATAATAATTGTTAGTAATTATTAACAGTTAACAATAATTATTAATAATTAGTTATAGGACTAGAGGGAATGGTCTCAAGTTGTGCCAAGGAGATTCAGATCGGTTTTAGGAAAAATTTCTTCTCTGAAAGAGTGGTCAGGCACTGGAACGGGCTGCCTGGGGAGGTGGTGGAGTCACCATTCCTGGAAGTATTCAGGAGAAATTTAGATGTTGTACTGAGGGACAGGGTTTAATAGGAAATACTGGTGGTAGGTGGACAGTTGGACTACATGATTTTGGAGGAATATTGCTGAATGCTTAGCACTGACTCAGCTTTGCTGTCATGGAAGTTTGCATAGATCTAAAAAACAAAAAAGCAGTGTTTGGACAATGGTGAATATTTGGAGAATTACTGGAATGAACCTTTAATAAGGGTTATTTTACTTTTCTTACATGACTAGCAATAGCATCAGAATGAACTGTTACTGTTAGAACAGAGCTGAACGACAATTTTACATGGGCTCAACAGAAGACTGGATAAATTCTTGGAAGAATCCCATTAACTAAACAAACTGCATCAGACTAATGAAATCCCATCAGCTGAAAATAGTTAGAGGCTGGGAGAATGTTGGGGGTGGGGGATGAGGGGAAGTACTGTTTATCTGCTCTCTTCTGGTCCCTAATAATCCACTTACAGCTATTGTTAGAGATGGAATACTGCTGTGAATTACTGTCACATTCTTACAAACATTAACAAAACGTATTTTTGTTGGAATATTTGGAATATGTTTTGCTGGAATATTTCAGAGGCATACTAGTTTTTACAAAATTCTCAGCAGCAACAATTATTTCCTAGTCCTAGCAATCTGAAAACTTGATCAAAAGGAGAAGAACAGAAAACTTCATGTACTTGGAAAGTAAAAACCACAGCACAATTGTTTTATAAAAACATCTGAAAGGTTTTGATTTTGTTCCAACACAGAACAAAATATAAGAGTTGTCACAAACCAAAATCATGCAAATATTAACTACATTTTTACATGATACAGCCACAAGATGCAGTAGTGCGCAGATAAGTATACAACAAAAATCTACAGTGTGTTCTGCAAGTGTAAAGATCTAGGTAGATACTCGCTAAGAACTTGCCAGAACATGCAGCGAAGAGCAGCATTGGTTATCTGCAACCAGCTCTAAATCCTGCTGGTACAAAGGAACCAGCATGTGCTGTCCTCTGCAGCAGGGAGGACAGTGCCAGTAGTGATACAAGGCTTGAGTGCTTTGTGCTGGGTGAAAAGGTCATTGATGTATTCTCCACAGTATTGAATGATGGAACACCCTTTTGGGCCCTTTTCTCTTCAAATCCTAGATGAAAGCAAAGAACAATCCTGCTTTTTGTTTGTTTAACTCGAGACTGAACCATAGGAATGCTGTTATCCTTTCACAGTTCCAGGCAAGAGGATGACTACACTGCTCCTCAAAAATACCAGTTCTGTAATTCTGCATGACTCAATCAGCCACTTGGTCTGTATATCCACATTTCCTTTCACAGAAGCACCTTAGGAAAATTTATTGAGTTACAGGGACCAGAGGTCTGTATTATGGTTATGCAATGCCAATATTAATAAAAAACATTGTGATGTTTCTTTAAAAGTTGAGCATGGCATAGGCTAAGCTGTACAGACTGAATAAATGCTCTGGATTTCTGAAACATTTCTAAGAATCTCAGAATAGCTGACATCTTTTTCAGAAATCAATCAGTGTCTACTGAAATCAAAAGAATGCGAAAAATATTATTTAAATAGCGTCACTGCAGCTCACAGCTTGAAAAGTGAGCCTGATGCAACTCAAATATTAATCAATTGAAAGCATAGGTATAATTTAAGATGTTTTCTTCTATATCTTGTTATTCCTGGTTTTATTCCAATGGTAGAAGCTCACAGTCATTCATTCTGAATTAGAGCAGACTAACTCCAGAGTTAGCCCACAGCCAAATCCCAGTCTCACAAAGCCTGCAAGATGCACGTCTTTGCGTACAAAGCTGTAAGAGGCCAATGCAGAGCTGGTGAATCAGCAGTGGAAAACTCCCCAGCCCAAGCCTAATTTTAATTGATACTTTCAGCAGTCTCCTATCTAACATGGCAAGGTAGAGCCCTGTGAAGTCCTACAACATGTTGCTTTCTGGATAAACAGGTGATGAACTAAGCAGTGCCCTCCAAAATCCTCTTGGGAAAAAAAAGAGCAGGTTCATCCAAGCACGACCCATACTAAGCTTACTGTGGTCTGTAGCCACATCAACACCACCTTATAGAGGTGTACTCACTCCAGGAATATATATAATGGATCATACCACTTGAATCTGCTGGTCTGATGCATCGCTTTTCTGTTGCGTCCAAAACCATTGGGTGTGTACAGAAACAGTTGTAAGATCCTTCTGTGTTAATGCACTGGCCATCAATGCAGCTGTTTGGGTCCTGACATTCATCTGTGTCTTAAAATGGAAGGAAATGTATCAAGGAAAGCCAGCACAAAGCAGTTGTATCGTGTTAATCAGTGTTTATATTTTCTTACAGTAGGAGTAGATTTCCCTGCATGTCTTCTGTTAAGTACTGAAATCCTGCCTGTGCCCATAAAGAAGAACAGACAGATGAGCAGGATGGTGATCTCTAATCCTCAGATACCAGGAAGCATATGGATGAGGAGGTTTGCTGAGGTAGGAGTGCCAGGCATACCCTGCATCCAGCACAGCTGCAGCTGGTTCACAAGTTCCTATCCTTGTGGGATAGTACTGGCAGGCATTAGAGGTGGGCATACTCTCTGAGACTCTTCACGAGCTCATCACAAGGAAGGATTAAGTTATCTGGCCACAACGTTTCTTAGTTTGGATTGGAGAAGAAAAGCAGAAATTTAGCTCAAAGGGAAGAACAGGCCATAATTAAAAGAAATTACCTTAAATTAGCAAAGAAAAACAAAAATAAAACCAACCAAACTTTGTAAAGAAACAATCTTAGAAACCCAAGGTGAAAGACTCTCTTATTGTGGTTGCAAAAATTACTTCCTTTCATTATGCTATTCTGCACATTTTACAAGGTTATTTGCTTACAGAATAAAAGCCAGAGTGACACTAATTTTTAGCTGAATACCAGAACCAAAGGAGTACAAAATTCTGTGGACTAAACTGAGCTTCAGAGACCTGAACTATAATTTCACATTGCATTTTAACTCCTTGTGGAAAACAATCTGTCCTTAAAAACAAACAAACAAACAAAAAACCCATACCTCTGTTGATTTATTATACTAAAACCAGCACACTTAACTAAGCACACTATGGTGGGCTTCACCATACTGATTTCGGTGTTTGCCCCATGTACAAAGAGCAGAAAGCTAAATGTTAGCTGGTGTAGTAAAGCAGCAGTGTATGTTTATAGGGGGGGAGCTACCTCCAATCACTGTGCTGCCTGGATAAGGGCTGGTAGCAGCTCTAAACTACACTCAAGGGAGCACAAGGAGCTGTTTTGGAGATGCAAACTCTTGGGAGCAATTTGCTGAGAAAGGAAGCAAATAAAGCAATCTCTGCTCTACATGCCATTACCACGTCAGCCAAAATTGCTGCCCAGCCAAGCAGAAGGGAAAAGAAATGACCCAGTGCCTCTGAAAAAGCTGCTATTACAGGAGTTTGGAGGCCCTGTGTACCTCTCCCCTTACTGGGAGTACTGCAGTTCTGGTGGGAATTCAGCTGTTTGAGTCTGCTTGTTTTGCCCATCTGCATACCATTACAGTGACAAGAACATTTTAAATAAACTTACCAAAGCACTGGAGCTTAACAGGGTCATAGTATGTGCCTTGTTTGCAGTAGCACTCATAACCTGGCTGTGTATTCAAACAGAAGCCATTTTTACAGATTTCTTGTCCAAAGAGCTGGCATTCGTCAGCATCTGAAAAGAAAACATTAAAGGCTGCATTATCATAATTAGTACAAGGCCACACAGGAGAGCAGAATGGAATAAAGCCTGTACACGTCTGTTCAAGTAAAGTGCACTTTAAACAGTGGGGCCTAGCAGCACAGATATTCATAGAAAAAATAAATCTGATATAAAAGAGGCAAAATAGAAAAGAGGTAGCCAAAACAGAAAAGAGAAAACTTGTGCACTATAACTTTCTCTTGTCAGAGTAACTCTTATGACACATACACAAGGTAGATGAACTGCACAGAGTAAAGCCTGCGATACTGGGAGAGCCTGCAGCTCCTCTATCTAGCCTTCAGGCAAGCAAAACAGATTCAATATGGCCAGGCCTATGCTTTTCAATATAATTTGCTTTACGCAAGGGATTCTTACCATGAAATCCAATCAAATCACATCATAGTACTACAGAACTAACTAAGCAGTTATGCTTATTGACTTTTGTCGCTGCTCTCCTTCTTTCCCTGCAGTTTGGCAACTGCTGTGTGTGGCAGAGAATCCTCCTATCGGCACTGTTAGTGATTTCATTATTCAAACATATCAAAAAGTTCACTGGAGACTTCCTTCCCCATAGAAATAATCGTGTCTGTTGCAAAATGCAGTGCTGCAGTTCTTAGAGCCACCAAGTGACAAAGAGAATCCATCACGCCTTCAGATGAATTATTTTTTTCCAACCCTCTTTCATTTGCTCAACCTATCTGCTACACTGCTAAAGCACTCTGTTGAAGCTAGGTTGGTATGAAAACAGCAATAACAAGCACAGTGTAAAGTAGGTGATTTTCTCTCAATACCAGTTGTCTCAATCCACTGTCTTCTATCGACTTACTCCCCACTAGGGCAATATATACTTCAGCCTCAAACTGTCATTTCCAGTTGTACATCAGTTTTAAAGGCAAATTATTCAAATACTTTTTGAGAGGAACTGAAAGAACAATAAAGCTATTTATTTTTACAGTTACTCTTCCAGCCCCTAAGTGGCTTCAAGCATTAAATATTTTAAGTTGGACTGCTTAGCAGCAACGCAAAGATTAATAAGAAATATTATTTAGCTGGATGTCTGTACATGTATTTCTTTTTGCTGTGGAACAGAGGTATGTGTCTGTCTGGGGAAAAGTGGGAGAACCTGGCTGAGCATATTCACTTCTGACAGATAATTTCAAATGAAACAGGAGCTTTTCCTATATGGAAAAGTTTGCTGACAAGAGCAACAGAAACACAAGTTAGTGTAACAGAGCAAGATCACATTATTAAAAGGACTTGTCCATTTATTGTCTGTCCTCTGTGCCGTTCCTAAGGTTATTAGGAAATAAACTTATAAAAACAGAAAGAGTCTCATTATGGCAAGCAGTAGCTGAGGATATTTCCAGATTGAAATATTTCCGCCCTCCAGTACTCATGGCAGCTAGAGATGTTACCAACCCTGAGGTAGCACAACAAAACCAATGAAGATTTGGTTTGACACATCTGGACATCATGTGCACACACTGTATCCCAAATCTACAGAAATCTCTACACAAATAACATGCTTAAACAATCCTCAAATAAACATACCCTCACAGAATGTTAGGTGCTTCAAGAGAAGCTCTGTAATAGTATCCTGACTTGTCTAGATGGGAACTGTCAGCCTAGCCATCTCATGCCATCAATCATAGGTCTGGAGTGATCCCATGGCATCTTTTTCTTTACTCACTCTAAGTTGGTCAACAAAGAGACACCTCTAAAGAGTGAAGATCTTACACAAGAACCCACTTTAAATGCCCATATTAGTTTGAATGAATCTGGGTATTAGTGCCTCACAACTTTCAGTATCTTTTCCATGTCCCTGTGAAGTAAAGGACAGCATGTTCCTCAATTTGTGAAAAGCAAGGAAAGGTACAAATAAATACTTCATGAGGACAACACTGAAAGATAGAAGGAGGGCAGAGAATGGAACTATTCACTAAACGGATAGGAAAAATGACCTATCAGTATCCTGGTCATTGAGGAAGGATAGTTAAAAAATGTACAGATAACAATCATACAAAGAAAATATTTCACCATCAGTTTTGTCATCTCTCAGATTTAAGACTGACAGAGCTGGGATTTAGCTGGAAGCAACTTTGGCCAATGTTTGTCAACCGTGTGACAATATGCCTCTATTAATAGTAGCTCTTTAAAAAATATCCAATTTTACTGCATTTTTATGTGATGTGAACATATGGTAATCTCTACATAAATTCTTGATTTGTAAAACAGTGATTCTAATAGGAAAAAATATATACAATTTGCATACTTTTTAAAGATACTGCAGTTACTGCATAACTCAAACACAATACGTTGATTTCATTTTAGGTAACTAATACAGTGCATGACACCATATGCTGAGGAAAATTGTTTTCACAAATATGAGTGACCACTTTTCAAACAGGAATTTCCCTGATCTCGCTCTTCTCTTAGTGATGTCCACACCCACAGGCTCAGATTTCTGTCACTCACATTCTCTACAGTCTTTTGTTCAGGAATAATTTCATTAAGTTCTGTAATGAGAATCTCATTGCTGAGCTTCCGTCAGTTTTTATATTCACTCTTTCTTCTAAGTCTAATTTAAACAGAACACCTCCTCCCAGCTGCCCACGCATTTATCTACACAGTTCAGGCTGCTTTGCATTTTGTATATAAATGACTATTTGAGGTTTACATTCTTGGCATCTAGTCTTACAGTATATAGCACTTAATACAAAATAAACTGGAATATCACAGAGATCGTATAATTGATATTCTGTCTGTCAAATGATGATCTTCAGCACTGTTCCGTATCACAAGCGGTTTTTGTCACCTACTAAAATTTGAATCAATATGTTTACATTGCTAGCTCACATTTCTAGTTAATGAACTACCAGAAACTCTGAAGGAATTGATACAAGTCAGCACTGACCTTTGTAATTCTCAGCAAGAAGCCCATAAGATGATTCTTCAGAGGGAATGAAGCCTTTCCCTTCAGGACACAAATCAGTGAATTCAGCTACGAGAGAGGGAAAAAACAAAAATTATGCTGTCCAGAAAAACCTACTTGCATATACTTGTTATATACATGTTTCAGGGTAGTTTGAGAAATCTGAGGCAACCTACACATCTATGCCATCATGCAAACCTTCAGCTAAATGGGTGATGCTAATTCTACAGCTCAACTTTTTGCTGCTCTCAGAACTACTAGCAGAGGAAGCTTTGAAAAACAGAGCTAGGATACCCAGCTATCACAGAGCTGAATGTAAACTCATTTATCTAGCTTCTTGTCTGAAGAATATAGTCCTCATTGGGTTACATGGTGCATTGGTGTTATAACAATGTCAGTAGCAAAATTATTGTAATTAAAGCGAGTTTTGGCCTTTCTGAGCTACACTGCAAGTTGTAGTGTAGACACATCCCAACTGAGATACAACCCTCTGTGCATGTACTTCAGTGAAAACAGTAATTAATTGCAACAGGAGAACATCGTATGGATAACAGAGGATAACTGTTTAAAGTGTCTTGGAGACTGTACAGAATCAAGTAAGCCTATCCAAGCAGAGTGTTTACCTAATGTGCTTCATTACAGTTTCACTGATCTTAAACTACAGCTAAAACAGGAACTAAACAAGATGATGCATACGAATAGAAATTCATCTTTAGTATTTAATATAAAGAAGTTTATGCATGTTCTCTTTTAACATGATTTTTTCCAGATGGTTCTGAATTTCAGCCATCACTGTTTATATTTCAAGTATTGTTTTCAGTATTTGTGACAAGTATCATATGGCTGTGTTTTTCTAATTTAATATTTAGAGGTTACACAATAGTCTGCAGACGGCATGATTAGCTGTACTGATCAGTAAGTAGGAAAATGTAAAACTATCATCATAATATATATCAGTAATTCATAGCAATGTAGAAACAAGATTAAGAAGAATAACTACAGACTCAAAAACATGATGCTTACCTTTGTTTTCCAGCTTGTGGAAAAAAAATCTAACTAAAATGATGTCATTGCATCTATACCTTCTGTGATAATCCATTTTTGTTTAAAATCTATTGGAGATAATGCTGCATGGTAACATTTTATCCTTATGTTTACTATGGCAAAGCAAATGGATTTAGACTAGATCTAATTATTCCTATTGACTTTTCCTCTACAGAAATCTCTCCCAAAAAAATCATGGTGATATTCTACAGAATATGGAATCTAATGTGAAAGCCTTCTCTGACAGCAAAGCATACTGAAGTTAGCAAAAATACAGTGCTTCAAAAATTTACACGTGGATGGACAGCTTCATCTTACCAGTTCCAAAGACAGGGCATGGGAAGATTTCACAGTTATCACCCCAGCCAGCACCCAAAGTACAGCAGCATTCTTGTTTGGTTACATTGGACGCAAGCACATTGTCACAGAAGTTAGCATCGTTCAGATTGTAGTAGCACTCCTTCTTTCCATCTTCATGTTGATCAGGCTCTATTGGCAATTCTAAAAGTGAAGAGAACATCTGCGTAAGATGTTAGGTGAAATAAATAGATTTGTTTTACAGGAGAGTCATGTGAGTCATGGTTCTGAAGTCACCACAGTGAAGAATAGTGTTGCCTGGTTGAGAAGAAAATAGCTACAAATTCTGTTTTCACCTTTTTGTTCTTGGGAAGAATGATGGGAGTTCATAACTGCTCTTTTTCAGACCCATTCTGAAATTTTTCATACTTGCACTTCCTTCACTTTCAAGCAGATCTACCTGCTGTCACGGCTAACTATCTAGCTATCATGCCCAATGCTGTGCTTTTCATCTATGAACCTTGATGCCCTTCACACACATGACCAAACATTACACAACCTCAATTTACAGATAAAGAAGGTAAGGCATAAACTGGAAAGAACTGATTCTCCAAAGAATGAACATTTCCTTTTGTTTTTACTGGGGAAAAAAAGCACAGTCCATATTTGAAAACAAAGCCCTTTAAGATTTTGGCAAAAGTAACCGTGCAACTCTGCAGCAAGCAGAGGAATATAATACAGATGTTGAGTTAACTGACTCTGCATTTTACTTTAAAATAGGCTTTACAGGCATCCAGCCAAGAAATAGTATTTTTTGCCCTTTGCAGTTGAGTGGGTCCTCTCCTACTATATATACACAAGGACTTGAGGAAAAACACTCTTTCCCATAGATCCAATAAAAGACATTAACAGTCAAAAACTTTTAAAAGCAAGGCACTTAAGTACGCAAAGGAGTGAGTTTGAAAAGAAATACATAGTTTAAGCTTCTATATTTTCAGAATCCTGTCCATCTAACCTTGCACTTGCATAAAAGTTCTCTACAAGAGCTCAGTAACAGAAACTATCACATAAACTTGTTAATCACACTTGATCAATATGACAAACTCTTCATGTGCCATCTGTAAGGTAACTGAACAGCTCACATTTATTAATCAAAACAAAAATTTTGTTCTTTAGTTTTAGATAAGCCCTGAGATGATTTGTTCACTCCATTTTCTTCTTGTGAAATGCCTCATGCCTAGCACTTAGTTTAGAAATACTGAAATTCATAAAAACACACTACAAATAATTGCATATTGATTGATTTTCCACTGTTTGAGATTTCATCTGTTTCTTCTCAGTCTGTTGCACAATTTGCCAAGCGGCAGAGAACTGTTAAGCAATGTATCCAGGTGGGAATTAAAACTCAAGAAGATACTCAAGGCTGCCAGCGTACAAACTCATTGTGTAGCTGGGAGAACCACGTACACTTGACCACTGTGTCTGTTTGCCCCTTTCTCTGGCCGTCTCACAGAGGCAAAGCTCAGCCTCTTCGCACAAGTTACAGAATGCATCTTTTTCCTTGTCCCCCTCACATAAGAAGAAATGGCTGTGAGGTGGGATCTCAAAGGCAGTGATTGCCTAACAGACGCTGAACGAACTCCAGCTCAGTACCTAAAACCTGTCCTGCCTTCCCAGCAGGATGCAAGCAGGTGGGACAAGGCAGCTTTATTGAGCATGCAAATAACAGATTCATTTTCAAAAAAGCAGTAAGGATTGCCTGTTACTGCAGTCTAATAGTATGAACGTGTGTAATAGTTCTTTTGGCTTCTCATTCCAAACAGACAATTAGATTTATTTCTATTTTCCTCAGAAAAGCGCCCGTGTCTGTTTTTGGAGATTGAGGAGCTGGCAGACTCCTCTACTCAAATGTAGTACAATGTTGCCACCTACAAGGCACATTTTCCTTTGCTCCTTTGCCAATATAAGTAAGTTGTACATTAAAGGAAACACCCAGCTGAGTGCTTATTTCATCTTTGTTAGTTTAGTCTGTGGTCTCCCCTCATCAGATAATTACAATTTTCCATAATGTGCTGAATTTCATAAAGTACGGTGGTTTTGTGGTATCAGCTCCTGTCCAATAGGAGCCAAGTTAAGACTATCGTGTGTCACAGAAACTAGGGAACTAAATCTGTTATTCCAAGGTGAGAGAGCAGTACTTGAGCTACCAAATTATACATTTTCTTTGGCTGTCTGCCATCTGTCTAACTGAATCAAAGCCAAAAGCTTTTAGCAGGAGAAAATGCATGGCACTTTTCACGCTGTTTACCAGAGAAAGAACACCAGGAGCTGCCCCAAGAGGGAGGGGAGACAATCTCATGGTGTGATTGTTTATTCCCATTTTACATATGATGTGTTGGTTTTTCCTCCCATTATCTGTTCAGCAGCTTAAAGGTCTGTTGTTTACACAGCTGTGTCTGAGGGTTAGTCAAGCAGGCTTCATGAATGTTTGGAAAGCAAATGAGACACAAGTTTTATTATTATTATTTTTTTAAATCAAGATGAGCCTACGTCTACAAGCTTCTAATTTCTTTCATACACTATTAACCATTTAGTAAACAGGTTGTTTTTGAAAGTGGTTTCAGCAAGTATTTGGACCAAATATGATAGGAAATGGACTTGCTATTTCATACTGTTGCTTGTTTTGTGTTTTTTGCTGTTGCTAGAAAACGTAAAATATCCCTCTATCTAAGGCACTCAGGTAAAGTAATTTCATCAGGTTGATACAACTGTTAAATTAGCAGCCTGGAAGACAGAATCTATCTGCTGCTAGATGCAGCATGAAGTATTTGTCAGAAATAGATTCATAGATCTTAATGTAAGTTTGATCTAACAATATGCTTCAGTATGTGACCAACGCAAAAATGCGCATTAGCATTACAGGATTCAGTGGGTAATTAGGACATTAGTATGTAGTTAGACTCTAGCATACACATTTATTTATCTAGGTAACAGTCTGAGATAAAGCCTTAAAATAAATTTACCCGATGAGATCTTTTCTACCTCATACTTATCTCTTAATTGCGCACAGAATCAGTGATGTAGTTGTTAAAGTGGAAAAGTGGGAATCATTACAAAATCATGACTTCTAAAACTTCAGCAAAGACTCGAGTGACTGAGCATGAGTAACACACTTTCTGAGCTCCATTTTCAGAAATAAAGTAAAAATGTATTGGTATGTGCCTACAGTCAAGGTGTAATCTTACAGATTTCTCAACTGACTCCACATGTGGCAATCTACACCACCTAATGCGTGTGTGCAGTGCATTACAGACACAGGTACATACGTATGCAATTCAGCAAGCAGTAAAAGTGATGCATGTTTACAAATGGTATCTGAGACCACGTCCTCATAGATGACGGAAACTCAGATTGTGACATAGCTCAACCACCTCCCTGGGGAGCCTATTCCAGTGCTTAGCGCCCCTTTCTGTAAAGAAGTTTTCCCTGACATCCACCTAAACACACCCTGGCGCAACTTGAGGCCATTTCCCCTCATCCTGTCACCTGTTGGGGTTCCTGCTCCAGCTATCTTCCTTTTTTCATTCCTGTAAGCCTGAATTTTTATCATGGGATTTTGTAGAAGTTTCAGCTTGTCAGTCAGCTGTCTATGGTATTTCACAGGCAACATCTTGAGTGCTGCTGAGTGCTGTATTCAACAATCTAAATACTTGTTGCACTTGGGTCACAGATATTTCAACCTTGTTTACAAGTCAGTGATACCACAAAATAGTCACAGCTTTTTAAGTTCTGAAGTCTGCATCCAGCAGAGTCAGTTTTTTTAAAGCGTTCAGAAGCTGCAACTGACTACAGTGTAAGAAGAAAACAGAAAAATACCAAGATTCACATTCCAGAGGGGGGAAAATGTGCAAGTTAATTCCTTTGTTAATTGTTCTCTGTTGCTCCCTATACTGAATTGCTTCTAGAACAGTCTAGAAAACTGGAGGCAAATCCGTGAGTTCAAAGTTTGTCCTTAAAGAGTGTATTTGCAGTAGTATTTGCAACATCCAGAACACCTGAATGAGACCTCACAAATCTTTGAAGATGGACACTGAGGAAAAACAGGACAAAAGATGGAGTAAAATGTGCAAAGGGTGCACAGGCATCGACAATTCAGTGTTTAGGCTTTCCTAATCACCTTTTCTGAGGCCTCACATTGGTAATATTTAATGCTATGAGAAGACCACTATATACGAAGTTTATTTTTAATCATATTCTCCCTTGAACATTGCCTAAGAATACCAAGAGGTCATTGTGAAGAATAAAAAATAAAAAGAATAAAAAATCACTCATGCTGTACAGTTGATGTCATATCACATTTCATTGTCACAGCACAGCAAATATGAGATTGTTTGATCTTAACTGCTCCAGGTGTTATTACCAAGGCTGTTGGTATAAAAAACTTTAACAGGTACTTCTGGTATATTTTCACTGCTAACGATGCATTGCAAATATTATTTAGTCCTAGACGCAGCTTCTCTCATGCACACATATTAAGGACAACAAAGTTTTAGTTTTCTCTTATTTACACAAGAATTTCTACCAACTTTTCCTTTGCACGGGTTACTTATTCACTGAAAATCATGCCAAGCATTCAAAAATCTGCTGGTATTTTACCTGGTGAGGTACGGAATCGACACTGTCCGGTCATGGGATCGTACTCCTGGTTTTCATCAGAACACAGGCACAGGAAAGAACCATCGACGTTTTCACAGAGGGCTTCGCCACATACCCCGCTCAGCATTTCACATTCATTCACATCTGGGTGAAAAGGCAGAAACATAAATCAATTCAAAGCCACTACTGACAGTTTATTCTTTTATCTGCTGTATCTGTGCCAATATTGTCTGCCAGATTTCAGATATGATCTCTGGGGAAGGATTAAAGCCTCACTAATACCTAAGTGGGCTCATAAACAAGTAGTTAGGCCCTTTGAAATAAAGGTACATGAAAGCTACTGTGCAGTTTATAAAAATATTGGTGCTGTTTGGGTCTGCTTGTAAACTGGAACACCAGTTTTCTTTTGTTTCTTTTTGGGAGGGTTGCTTTTTCATTTCTAAATACTTTATTTTCTCAGCACTGTTTCCTTGAGCTTTAAGATTCTCGTTTCATTTGTTTCCTTAAAAGAGCTACTACAACCAAACTTGTTCTCTTTATTATCAAACTTCCAGTAAATGCAGGGAGTGAAATAAGTGCTGTGATACAGACTGCGCTACAAAAAGACAGTTCACTTTTCATCTCAAAATCCCATTTTTCCAGTGAACATCCACTGAACAATGAAATCTCTGCCTGCACTTCCACTGCATATGTTCTGTATCTGTGTGAGTCCCCACAGGCTGCTCTGCAGCCCACAAGGGTTATTTTCCTAGACAAATTCCCTCTCCCACCTTCAGATGCTCCAAAGTGATAACTATGACTGGCCAACTATTAAACAAACAGAAAAATCCACATATTTTTAACATGGACTCCACATACCTACTAATTAGTCTACCCTGAAATGCTTACTGTTGATGGGAGTGTTGTCTGCTGTTTAAAGAAAGGTCACCAAATACTCTCAGTATGACTTTATTCCCTTTTACACTGTGAAAGTTTACCACTGAAAACTAGTGTTTCTACTAGTGGCAGAATCTGAAAGTTATAATTTCTTCATTATGGTTCAGAAATATCTATAATTGAGTGCAGTCTAAAGTGTAATTTGTGAGGCAGTCTTTTATCCTTTTTGCAGAATGAATGAAAATCTACTCTTGTGATCGAACACTGCTTTGTATTTGTTTATTTTTTATAAATACGCATTTTAACTTTGAAGAACGTTGCCTGGCCAGGAACTTACATTTTTCCTAAAATTCTTCTGCTAAATAACCTTCATTGAAATGTATAAACATTTTACAATTGTCCGCCGTATTTCCAGGACTGTGTGTATATTAAAGAAGGTAAGAACTGAAAGACTGAGTTTCGTCCTAATTCTGTCTTGAAGAAATTGTTTAATGAGTACCTTTCCTTGACCTGGTACTAATTTTCTATTAGAAACTTGTGCTGCCTCAGACACTTGTTAGGACCAACCACTGCTATTAACAACAGACAGAGACACCTATTACTTAAAAAGAAACGGGTGCTATTTACACATGTATGAAAATCTCACATCTTTTCATGGTGATGGGTGTCTTTCCTGGGGCTTGAAGTCAATGTTAAAATATGTTCAAACACAGTGTGCCTAGGGAGGCGTGCCATCTAATTCAGTCTGCATGTACCACATGCCAGACTTTATTTCCTGTAGGAGGTACTACAGAGTTCTGGTTATTCAGTTGAGAGACTAAACAGATGTTGCATTTAAGTAGACTAAAGCATTAAATTCACTCTGTCAGGATTTATACCTGAGCATGGTTCTGACATTCAGAAACAGCATGTTTTCTTGTGTTTTTATCTTTTTCTAGGAGAGAAAATGAGTGATTGAACTTATTTACAGTTGGTTTCTGTACAGTTCCAGTAACAAGTTCTCCCCACATGGCTAAACAGTTATATTTCCACCTGGCACAGTGTTCAGTGAGCAAAGCACAGCTCAACTTTATTTTGTTAGCACATGACACAACTTCAGTAAAAATGATGAAAAAAGGAAATACGTTCTTGTCAGGAAATGCATTTTGCTTATCAGCTGCTTTTTACTTGCTAGAACCTTACAAGAGAGACCACTTGCAAGTGGGAACTCACCTGTACACCCTTGCCCATCCTGTGAGTCCTGATAGCCCTGGTAACAGAGGCAGCGGTAGGAGCCATCCATGTTTTCACAGAACCCGTGGCTGCCGCACACTGTGCCATTCACACATTCATCAACGTCTGCAAAGAAGTATTTAACATCAGCCATGTGACAATCAAAACAGACATTCATGAGGAATGCAGGAAAGCAACTAAAGGGCTGCTTTTGCAAACAGATAGCTGTAATGCCTCTGCACAGCAGAAAGGAATACATGAAGGACAGACCCGAAATCCTCAAGTGAAGTAGGAAAACAGAAGATTTTGGGAATTGTTTCACTGTTAATTTCACTGGAAATGCCTCATGTCAGACAATGATTTTCTTTCAACCGCCTCACACGTGTTTCACCAACCTGCCCAACCTTGGCATGAGGCTACATAGCACAGAATAAGACACAGTTTAAACGCAACCATCTCTGCATTTCCTACAGGTTCTGCCAGCGTAGTGTTACACAGTCAACAGCATACGTGAAACTGAACCCCTCGTGCAAGAAGTGCTCAAGAGTATGGTTACATTCCTTTTGCAGAAGTGCTGAACGCAGGCCAAAGAGTTTATGTGGGACTGAGAAGTGCTGAACATATCTCATTCTGGGACTTGGCACAGAAGAAAATTTTGTGGTGCATGTGTAAGTGGCAAATATCCACAGCATTCACCTTCTGGTTTTAATCCTCAATGTTTACACATATGAATAAACTTATGTAGGTAGGCAAAGTAATTACAATGCCGGCATGCTTTCTATACCAGCCCTTTCATTTGCAGTTCCCATTTGTGGTTTACTGGTCTTACAAGTCACTGCATGAGTAAGTCTGTTCTTGACTCAGCTGCCCACCAACCTGTAATGAAGCAGAGCTCTTTGTGACAGAATGTGGTTTATTTTTGTAAGTGCATTACAAGTGCTAGGAATATATTGTTTTTATCTTCACTTGAATCAAGACCTAAAACCAAGGCTATGACCATCTGTGGTCATTTAAGATGTCATTGTGTGTTTTTCAGAAGGAAGAACATTAGCTCAAAAAACTGAGAACCTGCCAAGATACTAGGATCAGTACCTTCTGCTTTCTGAATTCCTCTGCAGTTTGAAGTGGAGAAGTTGTTGCTAAATTTCTTTCCTAGAATTCATTGTGACTGGTCAGTAGGGTTGCTGTTCACCCAAAATTATGTTCTCTGCTGTGCCTCTGAGATAATAACATTTTAAATGGTAAAAAAAAAAAAAGTGACTCACTTTTGATTTACCTAGTTATTAGCTAGATCATTAATCCTGCTTATTAGAGCAGACCATGTGATGGAGCCTACCACTACTGTACCTTGAGCCTTAGGCACTCACTGAACTCAAGGGCTTGGTAGGACTGAACCCTGCATTGACACAGAGGATGTGTTTGAACAGGTGAGCAGCACTTTTTGACAGGTTTAGAACTGCATATCAATTTTCAAGACCAGAAGAGAGATCCACAACATATAGCCTGGATTCTTAAATTAATAAGTTAAAAAAATACCTCTGGTTGTTCTTTTTTACTGAATAAATTGTGGAACTGTACTTTACATAAAGGCCTCTAATATAATTTTAAGGTTGTGTAAGTGAAGGAAAACTCACCTCTCACTGAATTGATCCACTGGTTAACAACATTCAGCTAAAATGCAAATTTCATGCAAAAACTAGATGTACTAAATATTCTGAAATCTTTCAGACATTCATGAATATGATCAATTGTATTTTAAAAACACTTGCAGATGGAACTTGTGGAATATTTTATTTGTTTTGTTGGTTTTGTCAGTAGAAGTTTTTATGAGCTTCACGTCTTGATTTATTAAACAGACAAAATAATTAATTCTATAAAGTGCAATTTGTATTTGGCAAAGAATACAATTGCTACTATGTTTATTCTGAAAGAACTGAATGTGAAAATTAGAGTCAAGGTCAAGTATTCCAATGATGGAATAGTGAAACGATGCATATAGAGTTACTGGGAGAGTGGAGATAAAACTTGTACACCAGCAGTTACAGTTGTGTTTTTGTGAACCTTCACTTTTGCTACTGAGCACTAGACCTGCATGACACATTTCAGGTTAATTTTTAGTCTCATGACCATCTGGAGTTTCATATATCTGGTAAAAAAAAAGAAAAGTCTTAACACTATATCTTTTATACAGAAAACCCTGTTAGGGGAATTCAAATTGAGTAAGCAGTGGTGGATTGACAGCCAGGAATTTAAGAAAACAGACAATAATGCAGTGCTTGTATTTTTAGTGGCCAGCTATAGTTTAATAACAGACGTTCCTGAGCCACAGGACGTTCACACTGCTGAAAGCCCAGACAGGAGAGACTACAACTGGGGATTTTGGAATTACATGAATTATAGTGTTTCTTTTACTGAATACCTAGATATTAAAGAAAACAGATAGGAGAATGGATTGTGCTCTTCAATAAACTAAGGTCATTGACTAAGGTCATTGAAAATCTGCAGAAACAAAATTTGGGATTGTAGCAGGTGTCCTAATATAGTATAAATAGTACATACTATATCCGCAGGAGATGGCTTTGTTTTTAAAAAAGTACACAGTCTGAACATGACTGGATCTTTCAGTGCATGGGAAATTACAGAGAAGGTCCAAGCACCAAATATTTTTCCTTGTCTAGACAGCTCACTCAAAGGATGCTTGTTTTACAGCCGGAAAGGGCATTTGTTCCTTTAATGACGCTGTAAAGCATGAGCCTTGTAATTGGCAATTCTCTTGCTATATAGAGACAGAGCAAGGGAAAAAATTAAATATGAAATAAATACATCCTATGTCTATGCAGTGACTAAAATAGCTCTCTAATTATAATTGTTTTAGAATGCATGACTCAGTGCTGCCTGGTATAACCAAAACTCCTTTGGTCTAAAATCATAGAGGTGTAAAGAAAGGCAGTGCTCATGCACTCAAGCCTGATCCTACTCAACTCAACAAGCCGTTGCTGTTTTCTGCCAATGTGAACAAGGTGAAGGCATATTTAACCTCAGGCACAAATATTTAAATCTCACTGGTATCAATTTACATTGCAAAATTTCTGTCAGGTCAGTTTTGTATGCTGCTTAGAAGAACAGCTGTGGTTCTGAGACTTCGAGGGCTGTCCTTAACACTCCCAAGTTAAAATCAGAACAATGAATATCTGAATAAAGAAAGATTGGTCATCGGTCATCTGGAGGCAATGATTGAAATATTGTGATATGGTAAGATAGACTCTTGTTTTTCCCTTTGTGTTCCTATTTCTTTAGTGTCCTGTTAAAAAGCAGTTGTTGCCCTAACACTTCTCTAATCAGGAAACGTTAAGAAAGTTGGTGAAGTTTGTGATTATTCTTTATTCATTGTGACACAAAGCTCACAGGGGCACTCTGGAGATGAATGCCTGAATCCAAATTTGGCAAAAGCTTTCTTACCTCAGTATTTAATCAGAGACTTGATGAAAATTAAGTTGCCTACTGCATAAAATTTGCAAGATGGCAACTGAGGGCAAACAGACATTGGAAAGCTCTAAAGGAATATGTAAGTTATTTTGGAATGCCTGCTGATGCTGACACTGGGGCTATGGGCTTGGAGCAGAGAGAGGGAAAAGTGAGGGAGCCACTGAGAAAGATGAGATTTGACATGAAAACAGAAAGAAGCGCTTGGTGCAGGGCATTGACTTCAGCATCAGAGAACCTCTAAGTTGAGTTTTTGCCAACACAGTTGACTAGCAACCAGCTGAGTAAGGTATCTTTATAGGAACCCCAGAGAGCTCCACAGGGAGCTATGGAGTGCTCTAAGAGCCTCCTGTTCTGAGAGCACGGCACAGTGAAATTGCTGAGCCTGGGGCCATGAAGCGGTGAAATGTCACCACCACAACAAAACTTTGTCTACACCATGGAAGCAGACACAGTCTGCACAGCTGTTCAGTTTGCTTTGGCCATAGCCGTAAAAACTCCATACCAGAACTGAACCACATAGGCTTCTCACTGTTTTATGTTGTTATTGTTTCTGACTCTTCAAAGAATTATTAAATTCATACAAAAACAGCTTGGAGATACAGAAAATCTGTTCTCCAGGTACGGAAAAGCATCCAAATCCAGCAAAATTTCCTCAACTTCTTTCTCTGATGGCATAAACAGTTATCCTCACTCACTTCACTGGAGATAAATTCAGAGGCACCTTGTGTAAAGAACAGTAGCTTCTACAGATTGAAGCCACATCCTTTCTCAGTACCTGGAATGTCACACATTCTTTGTTTCTAACCTTATTGTTTCTTTTTGCAAGCTGACTCTTGAAACTGACATCAAAACCAAATATTAACTAAGCAGTGAATGTTAATTAAGCACTAAAGTAATCAGTGCTTCCCTTAAATGATTTTCTTCGACTCTAGAAATGTTATTACTGAAATGACAGAATGGAGAAACTAGTTACAGTAAAAAATGAGTGCTGCTGCTTCAGAAGACTAGAAGTACCTCTGTTTCACCAAGTTATTAAAATACTTTTCCAAGTGCTGAAGTCTGATCTGTATTCCATACACACCAATTACTTGTGAAGCACAGTGACCTGGTTTTGTATTTTTTTTATTCTTCACTAAAAATGTTCCAAAACTACTCATGCTCCTGGAAACGGATCTATCTGCTGATTTCATCCCTTTCTATTTAGTAAAACCCAGGCTTTTAAATTTTAATGGAGATTATCTATGTACTGCTGTCTCATATGTGATAGTAACTCTTCACTAAGAACTACTTTTTAACTGTCAGAGATCAAGACAGGATTCAGTTTCTGGTCTGCCCCCTAAAATCAGACTTCTTAAGTTGTGTTTCTTGTATTTCTGTTCAGCATTGTCTCTTTTAATTTCTGAGAGTTTGACTCCACAAGGCTGGTATATGTTCTTCTAACTGATTTGGAAAAAATGTTTGGTTTCTACTAAAAGCAAGCTACATTCTTCTCTCTTTCTTTTTTTACAACTATGTTGAACAGTGAGGCAAAACACCTGCTGCTACTTTTCTTGCTGAGAAACCGAAGGTGTTTAACCATATCCTACATAAAGAGAGGGTAAAATGTATATGTGCTGTCAAAAGAGTCTAAGAACATGATTGTTAGCAACTGGTTACCAGAAAAGTTGGAAATTGCCCCATTGCTTGAAATCATACAATACTAGCGTCTCCATCTGTCACTGGGCCTATTCAGAGTCATCCTCTCTAGTCTAATTGCCAGGCTTTTCTATAATGTTATGATAAATAAATAAATATTTAGAGATGAAAAAGCAACAAAATATCTACAGGAGTTTTTTGTTATCAGCAATAAGTAATGCACAAATAGTGTGTTTGATGTCATGCTGTATCTAAAAATGTAGAACACATTCTCTTACATCAGCATAGCAATATTCCCTTACCAATTTAATTTCCTTATCAAATTACTTTAACAAGTTCAGCTCGAATAATAATTCTGTCTTTCCTCTGCTAAACATAGAGTGAGTAAATGTTACAGAAGTTTCCAAGCACCCTCTCCATAGAAGGAAGAGTCTTTGCGTTAGACCTAAGCAAACTGATGAGAAGAGCTGGCCCATGGAAAATCAATCACATGAGAATTTATTGGCTTATAATCTAGGATAGGGAACAGCTTGCTTATGTTTTGGATGTTGGGGATCCACTACTGCAAGGTTTTAACACTGAGCTATCCCTGCCCAGATCACCTTCTCTGTGTGCATCCTGCTGATCTACTACAGCATATACAGACTTTCTCCTCTTCAGAATTATTACTTTCCACACAAGGTTTCCTGCCTTGAAAAATCCTTTCATCCATAAGCAAAGCCATTCTTCATCCAGTTAGGGGAATTTACATTTTCTGCAGTATCACCATCACAAAACCACGTATCTCCTTGGTATCACTGAACTCAAGTCTCCTGGCTCAAATTAAGTGCTGTAGAGTAGCAATCATTAGAAAGAGTTTGCTTTCTATTAGGAACAAGGTATTTTCTCATACAATAACCAAATAACAACCCTAGTAAATTGTAGTAAATTCTAGACTTCTGGCTGATGTTTCTCAGTGGTGTTATTGCTTTTACAACCTTATTTGAAAAATACTTGTACGAGCACACCTGCATATGAAGTGTAAGCTGTATCACTGTAAAGATCTAATCACTAAGATTTACTTAAACTTTTGCCATTTCAAAGTGTATGAAGTTCTATCATAGGTAGCATTTTACTACAGTTTCTTACTGGAGCTCTGTTGCATGGATGCCTCAGCTGGTTGCCAAGGTGTTGATAAGGGAGGTTCTGTTGTCTCACATCCAACTATAAGAACGTTCAGGCAGCTCAGGCTTGTTGCTAATGCACCTAAGACTCTTTTAAACTAAATGACACTAAATATTTATGGCAGTAAGGGTTACCCATCTGAAACCCCTCAGTAGGCTGAATTCTAACGTCTTTTTACTTGTGTTTTATATGTTATACTTCTCCCTCTGTTGCTGGATGATAGAAATGATTTCTCACTCTGAAAAGATCTTCATATTATTGCAGATGTCTGCTTTCACATATCTTAACATATGAATATTATTCTCATCTTTGCTATCATTGGCCATATTTAGATCTGTATTTCTTTTTCACTGACTTCTTTTGCTCAAAAAAAAAAATTATATAATTAAGATGGTAAAATTTTTATAACAGAAGTAAAGCTTCTAACAGCTTCTAACAAATGTGAGCTCCATTGTGTCTCCCATTTTGTATATTTCATGTTATACTTATTATGGTACAAACAGCAATTTATCACATCATGCATTTAAGAGAAAAAAGCCAGAAAAGACCTTTAGATGTCAGATTGCTGAGTTAATAATGGTTCTGGAACATTACATAAGAATGGACTGCTTCCCCCCCACCTCCTCCAGCCAGTCAGCAAATCAGTGGGAATGCAGGGGAATGCAGGGGGAAGCTCACGAGTCACTGTGATTTGTCTCACCTTCACAGGTTCGGCCGTCCGCAGACACAGAAAAGCCCTGCTCACATATGCACTGGTAGGAACCATCTGTGTTTAGACACTCTCCATGAGGTGAACAGAGGTCAGATCTCTCACATTCATTGATATCTGAAAGCAGAGAGATTAACAGCTTTGCAAGCAGCAATCATTCCCATAACACCAATCCTAAGTTTGATTATTCTTAAAAAGCAGCTTTCATTTCTACCAGCTATGCAAATCGTGTTCATTTTCAGGAGCGAGCAAATCCTGTGGGATCATTTTTAAATACTGTATGTTCAGATGTATCATACTTTCCATGTGTTGCTGTCTGTAGTGAGGACAAGCAGATGAGAATGATTTCTGAAATGTCACTTTGAGCTCTATACAAGCCAACATTTATTCTCTATCAGGAGAATTCTCAGCTGGCTCCATCTTACTGTTTCTTGATTGCTCTGTGTTGGTCAGCTTGTTCATCTGACCCCACGTGTTATCAGTGGGTTTGGAGTTGAATCTTTTAACAGGATAGCAGAATTTCTTCCTCTTCACTGTGTCTTTGTTGTTTAGATTCCAGCTATTGTTACAGCCACACAAAATGCATTGAAACAGACAATAACTTTGATAGAATAGGTAAGTTATGATTTCAGCATTTAAAGTCCCATGACTGCATTATAAATTTTTTTAGATACAGACTGATTATATCCTGTGTGTATAAATCCTTCCAGGCTAGTGTCCTGAAGGCATGGCACAAGTGGAAAGAACAAAGCTCGAGGAAGGGCAGCATTTGTATGAGGTACAGAGGGAAAAGTTTTCTCTGAATTCAAGGTCAATGCAATGAGATACTCTGTGAAGCTCTCTGAATTTGTCTAAGTCCCATAAGGTCAGCATTGACAAGGGCAGCACAGTGCCTTCTTAGCACACGTTGCTCTCAGGACTGAGCTGTGTGGTGTTTGGTTTTTTTTTTTTAACTGCCAGAACAGTTTGTTACACGAGAGTAAAATAATGTATTAAAAAACAGGAAAACAAAATTAACAATGTGAGAGAAATAAGAGTTTGAATTTGTCTTAAGAGAACTCTGCATACTTTCTGATTTGGACTCTAACTTTGCTCCTTACCAAAATACACATTCCTAATTTCTAGTCTGAATTAGTCCAGATGCAGCTTTGCAGACACTGCATTACACTGCATTCTGTGATACATTTTCCAGTTTAATTCAACAGCTCTCTACTTTGAATTTTGACTTCCTTTGAAGGGAATCAGTCTGTGATCAAATCACCTGCCATTTTTTTCTTCAACAAAATAAAAGTTTTAAAATCACTCAGTCCTTTTACCTCCAGCCATTATGTATTTTGGGTTCATCTCCAAACTCTGTTCAGCTCATCAGCATTCATTTTGAAACGCGAGTTCCCAAGAGCACGTTGCCAAGAGCAGTTGCATCAATTGCAAAATAGAGGTATATAATTTGTGCATGCTCCTGCTAGATATTCTGCTTTTTCAATATTTCAAGCAGTGCATTAGTCCTACTGGCCACAGGGTTGCAGTGAAAGCTCATATTTAGCTACCTATCTCTGACCCCTACATCCTTTTCAGTCAGTGTGCTTCAGAAGGAAATCCACTAAACTACTCATACGACCAAGATTCCTTCTTCAGTATGCACCTCACTATATTAAAATACAGGTTGGATGCTCATATCAAGTTTATCATGTGATCACTCTACCCTAGTGGCCTAATATCTTGGTCTTCTGCCATACCCCTAATCACTCCACTCAAATTCTGTTAATTTTTTTAATGTATTTTTTGTTATTACAGAATTCTGATAAGAACCGATTTCAGCCATTTAAGTTTTTTTCCATTTTACCGCTGTTAAAACATTCTGAAGGTACTGGGAAAAAAAAATAAAAAAAATCAGTTATTATATTAGTATGGCTAGTTCCACCCAGTCCACAATACAGGACAAGAAAATACATTCAAGATTTCCATTTTTGACTTGTAAGAGTCTGTTAGATCCTGTAACAGCTCAACAACAGCAAGAACATGCTACCAATTTCCCACTCTAGTATCACGCTTCCTGTCTCATAAAAATGGAAGCTTTTTGTAAAAGGGAATGCTGAGGCATGCCTAGGTGTTGTGTCAACACAGTTAGGATTCTTCAGACCCAAAAGCTGAGAAGTACTTCTTCTGGGCTTGGCAATGTTGATTTAGCCTCAGGTAAAACATTCTCTTCCTTCTCATCCTCCACCAAGTGCTGCCAAACGTGTTAGGGATGAGCCATGTTTACCTAATGTGATTTGATATGAGCTGTACTGCTCTGTTACAACATCAGTTCACAAATGCAGAAGATACTGTCAAAATAAATGCTCCTATCCTAGATATATTTGGGATATTGCAGCACTAAATCTCTGTTAATTCTAGCAGAAGTTTTCTTTCCAGTTAGGAAGGCTGAAATTTAAGCTTCTTGAAATAATTTTTCAGTTTGTATTTAGAGACAATGGTATTAAGTGAAAAAATATGGAAATACTACCAATCATAAATAAAAATAATTTATCCTCATTATCATGATTGATGACCATCACAAATTACGATTTTAGACTTGCACATTTATAAAAATGACCCAAATATTTTTAACAGCTATTTCCTACCTTGACATCCCCTATTGGCTACCTCCTGGAAGCCATCTAGACAAGAGCATTTGTAAGATCCGTCGGTATTCACGCAGTTTCCTCCAAGGCAAATATCGCCGTCTTGAAGGCATTCATCAATATCTGAAATAAAAATGTAACCGAGTGATTAGATGACACAAAAGCTGATCAAGCTCTTAAGTGATACTTATCAACTTGAAGCTACAGTGTCCTTTCATAAGTGTGTGACAGAATGCCCTTTCAATTTCTTTCATCATACTGTCAAACTGCTTTATTTCTAGAAAGCTTTAAAATTTGAGTTTGTGACATTTCTTCTTACCAAGCACGTCTAGTATGTGCCATCTGCATCACTAATAAAAACTATCAGTGACCTTTATATCAATCTCTCCATTACTTTAATAGTGACAGTGATGTTAGAGTACTACAAAAATCCAACCAGCTGTACGTTTAGAAGATAGACACAAAACATGGCTAGTGACACAAACCCGTATTTTGAAATATGTATCTTCAGACACGTTTAGACCAAAGATTGCTGAGCCTGAAGTGATCTGACTTGGATCTTGTCCACAGCATGTGCAAGCCCCGACATAGCTGGTGTGCCACACCAGACAAGATGTGCTTGTGGGGATTATTCAAGCAACAACCACGTGGAAAGGTTTGTAGGACACAGGCCACACTATGTGCAGTCAACATCCGTGTGTTAAACATGTTGCTCGACACACAGCAGGGCAAGTTCCAGGCTAGAAATTAGATACAAAGCAACCAAATATTTAAAGAACAAGATACTAGGCATTGTCTCCACCAAAAGTCTTTTCTTTTCCTTCAGAAAATGGAGTGCAGGTACAGCATTAACTCAGAAAGCACCTACATTCCAGTGATATTCTACTTCTGGTTTTTAAAAGCAAACAGAAAATAAGAGAACAAAAGAAACGTAAGTAACTTCCTTCTGCCTCCACAGTTCTTTACCTTGTAATTCATTGAGCCTATTGCTCAATGGCAGGACAGATAATTTCCATTGAAAAACTCCACAAAGTTTGTCCACTGCCTTGGAATATTCTTAAGTTTTTAACCACAAATTTGATCTGAATAGATTTGTAATTTTTTTATGCATTGCAGGAATAATAACAATTCTAGTTAAAAAAAAAAAAAAAAAAAAAAAGAGGGATAGACTTAACCTCATTTCTGCACATTTTAATCTGCAGAATGTGTACAATACTAATTGCTAATTACTAACCGAGTAATTACTAGTTACTGATTTACATACTTGGGATTTAATCTATTTGATTAAAATAAGGAAAAGTAGTAGCTTTCTTGCATAAAAGATTGTTATGGCAGATAAAATTGCACTTAATGCTGACAAACTCACAACCTTTTGATAACCACATGTTTTGTAATCATTTTCAACTAAGAAATAAATTGTGGTTTATTTAAAAAAACAGCAATTAATTTTGACTGGGAGCCTGAAAAAAAACTAACGACTCCCCTGCGCCGAGTTAATGCCAAGTCTCACAACAAGAAAGCATTTTCTGCCAAATTCAGTCAAAACTCATTATTTTCTGTATAGGATGCAAACCTCTCTGATGGAACAGAATGGGCAGCAAACACAGGAGTGGGTACTCTTGAGATTACTGCCCAAGGATCTCAAGGAAAAGCAGAGACAGTAACTAATGCTTGAAATGTTCAGTGCTTTTTACCATCTTTCACAGGTGCATGTCTAGAGTAAGGAGCTGTCTCATTTCCTTGCTATTAGCAGCTACAAAAAGCACACCAGGGATTGAAAGATTATATATGCTAATACTACAACTATAGCAAGAGCTTAACAGAGTTCTTCCTCCTAAGGAGGGAGATAAGGAAGCAATGGAGGTAGAACTGTTTCTGGAGCTCTTCAGCAAGAAATTTCACGTGCCCAGGGTTACCACAAGCACCGCAGCAAAAGGCTATACCTATAATGATAATAATAAAATAACAAACCTGTTTGCTGATTACTGGACATTAAGCTGCCTGATTTGAGAGAAAATAGAATGTGTCTGTTTTCTATAACTTAGCATTTCCTTTCTCCCTATTTGCCTAACATCTTTCACTTCTTGTTTTTAAAAGCATAGCACACAGATTCCCTTCTGAGACAGTGAAAGTTGTGAGCACCAGCAGATCCCTCTGGAGCACATCTGAAACTGTGCATTTCTCTTGCAATTGCACATGTGGGATTGTAGTGACTGGCTACAGGTTCCCAAAACCAACTGAAGAATTTTTCACTTAGCTGGCCCCCACATGAACAGTGTCTGCTGGCAGAAGCTTTTGTAACAGAGAATCCAACACAGACCTCTGCATAAGCAACAAGATATGAAAAAGGTGAATTGTTTTTGGTATCAGTGCTAACTGCTCTTCTAGCCTTAGTGTTGGCAACACACATACTGATTTCTTGTATGTGGAAAGATGACAGAGACTATTTTTAAGAAACCTTAAATAGGTACCTGTGCAGATGAGAACTGTTAAATAGTTGACAGTGAAGTATCAAGAAGAAAAGAAGTGATGTATTTTTCTGTCCCATTCACAGAAGAGTTCATGCCTATGGCTGAAATACTCAGGATCTTTTTGAAAAAATGAATCAATAGCTTATGTCCACGAGCTTACCTTCACACTGATCTCCAGTAGCAGACAGCACGTAACCTTGGCTACAAACACATCTGAAAGACCCTTCTGTGTTCCTGCAGTGTCCATTGACACATAGTGATCTGTGCTGGCATTCATCTATATCTGTAGCAGAAGAGACAGGGATGACATGACACATGAAAAATACAGATTACTGAGCAAATAGTGAAAAAACATCTCTGAACAAAATAGCAAAGCACGGTGTTATTAGCAAGTATTGTTTCTCTTGATTTTATTTACAAATGCAGCAGACAATACATTGCATAAAAATATACAGAACTGCAGATGGAACGTTTCCCTCGAGGTGACTGCATTCGGTGTTCTCTCCCGTAGTGTCATTATATCCCACAATGGACACGCAAATACACACAGACTCACAAGTACACACACAGACATACTGCTTGAGAGCCACTTTTGTTTCTCTCCTCTCTGGCAAATCTAACAAGCCAACTGCTCCAATGAGTCAGCAAAACCCACAAAATACTTTCCAGCCAGCTCACCACCTTTTAACAGGGTGTGGTTTTAAGATGCACACTGACAGGCCATTCCCCTGTTAACTTGTACTCCTTTAAATACTTGCCTTGTAACAGTATTAATCCTCCAAGTATGGGGAAATGTCTCTTTGCTTCCACAACCACTGCTAATCCCTCAGTGCTTCAAGTTCTCATAATGTGGGGTCAGCCTGGGTTACCAAATGGACTTGAACACTAAGTTTAAATTTTCCTATGGAAAAGTCAAAACAGTGGAGGAGAGCAGCACTCTGAATTTAGAACTTACCACGTGTTCTGCATAAGCTAGGAACTGCTTTTCCCTCTCTCATTTATAATTACAATTTCTTAACTACTGTTTTAAATTTATATGACAGGTTGTTAGTCACTTCTAGGATTTAGGCACGGGTGCCCGTTGTTCTGAGAATATTCTATAATGCAAACAGGAGAAAGTTACTCAGAAGTTTTTCTGGTCTCTGTTATGGCTACACAGCCTGATCGCTTTCTTGAGTTGTGGTCCCCTGCAACCAGAGAAGTTTTGAATTTAAGGATCACTGTATTCTGTGGGGCTGCATGAAGCATCTGGGTGCACGTACAGGCCCTGACTTGAGAAGGGCGCACTTTAAGAAGAGCTGTCTGCACATGCCAGTGTAGCTTGGCAAGGGCTCTTTTCCATGAAAGGCTCAGAGGAAGCAGTCAAACTTTGTCTACATACTTTCCCCAAGACCGGTCTGCTCTGTGTCCTGGACAGCACATTTAACTCACTCACACCATTTAACATTCAGTGTGTTTTGTTTCAAATTTCCTGACAAAGTCAAATGAGTGATTATTCAGTTCTATTGTATTATTGTAGCATCCAGAAGTCCGAATGTGTTTGGTGCTATACACAGACACTTGCATAAAGGGAAAAAGAAAAAAAAGGAAAAGAAAAAAGCAATCGACAAGAAACTTGGATTTCTGTGTGCTTCCACAGCTTCTCTGAGACATTCTCTCAGATTTTCACTTTTGGTGGAGAGGTTGCAAGAGTCCTAATGCCTGCTCAAGGAGCAAAGGGATATTCATGGTTAATATATGTAGTCGATGTTTGCCCTCAGACTGCTCAGCTCTGACATCAGACCTAATTTTGATCCACTAGAGCAGCCGTGGCAGGAATGTCACATGTGGAAGAAATGCAGGACCTAACACTCTGAGGTGCAGGTACAGCACTTGGAAATATTACACCACAGTCCCTCTAAGCATGCTGCTCAAAAAGCAGTGATAGCAAAGCAGGCGTCAGCTTAGCATTTAATTGACACACTTTGGGGTTCTAAGCCTGGGTTTTTGATTTCACTCCCTGACATTAAAAAAAAAAAAAAAAAAAAAAAAAAAAAAAGTAAAGAAAAGCAAATAAGCAAATCCCACACTAAAAGTTTAAGGCAGCAAAAGCAACAGTCCCCAAATCTCTAAAATGACAGAAATGTCAAGCGTTTTGCAGGAACTCCAAACAAGCAATATAAATATTACTAAACATTGCTGATCTGCTTTATAACCCCAGATGTTTTATAAGAAATCACAAAAAACACAGTGTGACCACAGAAGTCATAAAATGGAAATCCACATTCTTCTTACATGCTTGGTTATGCAGTCTCTGTGTGATACATTTGTTGTGTCTCCATTAAGAGGAATGCCATTAGATGAAACATTATTGAAAAAGTGCCACTTTATGAATTTCAATCATATTCCTTCCTACCTTCACACTGATCCTCTGATGCAGAGAGTTTGAAACCTTGGCCACAAATACATCTGAAAGACCCCTCAATATTTTCACAATGTCCATTTGCACAGAGATTGCCATACTGACATTCATTTATATCTGTGAATATAAAGAAAGCAAAAATATATTGGCAACTTGAAAATACAACCATCTCTCAGATAGGCTTGGGAACTTACTCAACTTCTGTCAGACTTGAGTTGGCCAGTGCTCAAACACAAGTATGCTCACAGGCCACATGATCAAAACACCACTTTCATCCTAGTACTGCAGTTGAGAAATTTTTTTTCCCCTCAATGTGTTTTGTACTATGAATGATGTGCCAATGTCATTCTTACCTAACTGAAGTTACTTTTACCCATAATTTTCCTCACAGTGTCTTAAACTACAGTGACAGTAGTGCAGAGAAGAGGTCAACAAGTGCTGGTACTTTCTTGCATTCCATAGATGCACTCTTAGGAAGCATACATGGCTATGATAAAAGCACTGGCAGCTGCCAATAGCTTGTAACAGTTATTGCTAATCCTTTTGCTATTGCAAGGAACAGTCCAGCAAAATCCCTTGCAGATGTAGGTCAAGCTGACAGGTCTGTGTTTGAAGCCGTTCTCTCTTAAGCTATTTTTAAAATTTGCTCAAAACCCCCCCAACCTGCTGCTGCCTCTCTGCTTGTTCACCTGGTGTTAATATACTGAGGAAAGTACAGAACTCAACCACGTTTCCTGCTGTTGAGTTTTTTGCTGTCTTTTAAAGCTAGGGCAATTAATGTGCAGGAGTTCTCTAGTGTGTAACAAAACTGTACACAAAACCCGTGCATGTGAGACAGTACCAGACAATGTTTTTCAAAAGCATTTAAGGGAGCTAAGTTCTAAAGGATGTAACTAACACTGAGGAATTTCAAGGGAATTTCAAGCAGATCCCTCTGTAAGGGTAGTCTGTCTAAACAGGCTCTATATAGCAATCCTAATGAGCTAGGCCTTTGTAACAAAAGTTTTAAACTCCTTTCTTTACAGGGGGACTTTTTTTCCCCTCAGCGTTAACTCAGTAGACCACTCTCTACAGTCAACATGAAAATTGCTACATCACTTAAACATTTTCAGAAATTCTCTCTGAATGCAATTTGTATAAGGAATAAACAATAAAGCACAAAGATAAACAAACCCAGCCAGAATTCATTCAGTATTCTAAACTGATCAGTCCTTTTTTTCCTAGGGATAGCTTTCATTTCAATGCTTATTTATTTTGAGGGTTTACTTAACAGCAAGCAGGTGTCTCTGTTTCTATGGAAAAAGCTGTCTTTTACAGCTTTACTGATGCAGAAAAAAATTAAATCTCATTTGCTTTTATATGTCAGAAATCATATTACCCTCAAACATATCTTTTGACAACACAAAGCATAGAAAATCTGCTAAAATGAAGTAAAATCACTGATTATTTGAGAGACTTGAGCTATTTAGGCAGCTGAAGCCGAGGGAGAGCAGAAAAAAGATAAAAAGTTTGAATTCATCATCATAGCTTTTATTAGTTACCGTGAATTTCTGCAGAAACTACTTTCCTCAGATTTATTTGTTATTCGTGGCTCTTCACATGGTACTGCACATTTGGAACTCTGACAATGCCCACCTGTCCTCAGAGACAAAGGAAATCACTATTGCTACCTGTATTTCAAATCATCTGTATTTCTTTTTTCCCCACTCACTTGAGCCTTTGTAATACCTTGTCTTGTCTACTTAGCCAGACAGCAACAACAGCATAGGTTCACACGTCTTCTGCTATGGCAGATCTAGTAGGCAGTCTTAGTTCTGCAAGATGAATTTTTGAAATTCCTAACTGTTTCAAAATGATCTCACTGAACAAAATTCAAACTCTGTAATGACTTGATCGCAGGACTTGAAGTTACACTAAGGAATTTTGTTGATGACAGTACATTGGTAAAAGCTGTTGACTCCCTCAAGAGCAGAGAAGCCCTGCAGAGAGCTATTTACGCCTTGGAAAACTGAGCAACTACTACCTAAATGGATTTGAACAAGAGCAAGTGCCAGAGCCTGCCCCTGGGACCAGATAACCCTTGATATAATAAGCTGGAGAGCAGCCCTGCAGAAAGGGATCTGAGGATTCTAGCTGTGGCAAGTTGAACACGAGTCAGCAGTGTGCCCTGTCAGCCCGAAGGGCCAACCACATTCTGGGGTTTCTTGACTAAAAGATCAAGTGACTTCCCCACAAAGCCTGAAACAGAAAGGCCAGAAACAGAACCTAAATCTGAGATGAAGTTCAGAGCTGTAGGTGATTCTACTGAAGTCCCTTACAGCTGGGCCAGAAGTGGGTAGATTGGCTTCACTGACCTCTGTATTAGTTTTGAAAGTTTTTGGCCAGGTCTCTCATGCCATATGAGCAGAATATCTTATTTAACTATGTAGCTGCAAAATTCATCACAGTATTAACTATGAGGACGAAATGGTCTAAAAATTGTCATTTTTCTTCTCCCCCATTTATTCATAAACACACCATACAGTACTCTAGACTCTGGTAATATTCATTTTCATTACATATCATGATACATCACTTTATTTTGAAGTACAAATCTGGAGAGAAAATGATTTAAAAAAAAAAAAGCAACAGTAAATGCAAATGAACTTTAAAAAAATAAATAATTCAAATAGTCCTTGTACAACAGAAATGCATGACGCAGCCTAAGGAGGCAGGGTGTGCTTATTTTTTAATCTCACCCAATATATGAATCTCACATTGCATGGTCCCAGCTGAACTGCTGTTAATATATTCTACTCAAGTCTGAAGTGAATTGATAGGCTTGCCTTTGTTAAACAACAGATATGTTCCTGGTTTTAAATCTTGGAAAGTTAAATTATAAATAGCATTAAAGAACTCTGGAATTGTTATGCTGTGCTTTCTAGGACACCAAGTGCTGGCAGAGGAATGAGCTGAGGCAAATAAATCAATATTAGTGAAACCAGCTCTGAGAAAAATCAGCAGAGCTTCAACTGATCTAAACTAACACTAGAAACAGCTACATTTATGGAACAATGGGCTCAAATACCCATCATAGATATCTCGGCAAATATTTTCCTTCACAGTGTGTTTAAATGGTACCATATTGCAAAGCTCTAAGACAAACTATCACTGTTACATTTCCTAAAATGTATATATATAGCTCATCTCCAATATGATGTAAGTCTAGGATAAATAGAAAACTGATCACATCACTAATGATGTGAGATGTCTAGGCTTAGAACATACCACAAAACAAAGGAAAAAAGGGAGTTATAACACAGTAATAAAAGGAAAAGAAGCATCTGCATCTGAGAACAAATACTTATTCCCTAAATGTAAGTTTGTTTGTAAATCAAGAATTCACATCACTCATTCTACTCCTACTAACCTGGTTAGTAAGAATGAAATAAGTGAAAGGTATGCCGTCATATTTCCAACTAGGCTATTTTCATGTAGGAATAGATACCATGCATATAGTGCACAGGGCAGATTGGACATCTTTCACAACTGAGTTCAACTCCAAGTTTCCAGCAGCAGCACAGGAAATGGCACTTAAAACTGAAAGATTTTATTTCTTTTTGCAGAGTGCATACATTTATTCTCTTACCTCTACCTCAACTAGCTAAAATTCGCTTGAAAAAAAAAATCTAATAATTAGAACAAATAGACAAAAATATGTGAGAAATCCTATCCTCCTAAAAATCTAACTTAGAGTGAGACAAGCTGTTAAAAGACGTGCTAAATCATACAAGATATGCTGGAAGTATGGATGATTAAGATTTTAGTAACATGATTCACAAGCAAACTCTCATGCTTTATAGAAAAATCTGCCAGGCACAGCGATGTGTCAGAACTCACTTGATTTTTCAGTTTGTTAAATACCTCCAAGCAATGACTTACTAGCATTTCACCAATAATAAATCCTTTACAGTTACGTATTTTTATTTCAGTAATTTTATTTTGTAATGACAATTGTATGGTTTGTAGTCTAGTCTTTCAATTTGTCTGCATTAAAACAAGATTTCCTTATGTCTTCTGTGTGAGAAATTAGTCATTTCAAAAAATTGTGTTCTCATTTATTATCTAATGAAACAGGTACAGGCATCACAATGCTGTCATCAGGTTTTAACATTTATGAAATAGAGAATACAGCATCACCGAACAAGAACCATAACCAGAGACAGAAACAGTAATAGTACTCAACATACCATGGCACTGTCCATTCCAGCCTCTGAATCCCACTCTACAGGGTATGCACTGGTAAGAGCCAGGAGCATTAATACACTGTGCATCCGGACAAGTAGTTGGGGTCATGCATTCATCAATGTCTTCAAAAGAGAATACAGAAGGAAATACCAGTCAAAACCATAACAGAACACTGAATAATGAAGGTAATGTGGTTATCCTGACCACCTTAATTTTATACTCACAGATTTAAGGAGTCAGGTACTTTCTATAAGATACCTAGGAAGGTACAAGTTGGAACAGACTTAGACCAGTGAAGAGGCATCGCTAAGACAGAAATTGGATCACAGTGCGTGCAACAATCTGAATTCTCTATTATACTGCAATTCCTTGGTTAGGCCCTGCACAACACGCAGATCAGATTACCGGCTTAGATGGGAATGAATTCCTTTGTTTACATCAATCATCTAATCACTGAACTGTCTTGAGGTACCTCCTATCATCAGTCTCAGGAAACTTCGGAAGTGCACTGGAATGACAAACTGTAACTGGCTTTGCAAAGCAAAAAAAGTAATCTAGTACTCCTAGTTTACTCATGACAAAGAAAGAGATAGGTTCTGAAAAACTCAAGTATTTATGGCTAAGCTCTAAGCAGCTACTAATAACTTCTTATCCTGCACCACAGAAACCCACAGTACACGAAGCGTATGCAATCTAATAGAGACTGCATGCAAAAATTGACATTCAAAGACATGTTGCTGTCCAGAGACCAATGGCTAGATCCTCCAATTTAAATTATGTGCGCAGCCTCAATCCAGCCTGCTCCATACCTGAGTATTACTTTATGACATGGTTTAATTATAAAGCAGTAATCTTTCCTACAGAATACTTGCTTTGCTCATTGCAAAGAACTAATGAAAGTCACACAGTATAAGTTATCTCTAACTCAAGCTCCCTAAGCACCTGTCCCTTCCCTGCTCCAAGCTTTCTACCTGTTGCACCTCCTGCAATTAAGGACCGCTGCTCCCACCATAGATAGTGCAAGGGTGGCAATTTACGCCAAGTTCTTGGAAGAAACTCACAGAGGAAAAATTGCCTCCAACACCTGTACCTTAATTGGACAATGCTCCAACCTCTAGAAAATTTGACATTCTGCCTCCCAAGTAGTCACTGATTGTGTACAAATCACATTTTTTCATAGAATCACAACTGTCCAACAGAGTACTTTCTCATAAAAACAGCAACAGGCCTCTTAAACCTCTAAGTTTCAGACCTGCAAATGCTTCTCGGTGAAACACCTGTGAGATTTTAATTAACAAACTACCTTCCTCTGAAACCCGCTCTCAGAACTGCCTGGACCACATTCAGCTTCAGAACACGTAACATGAATAATGTATTTGGTACAGAATTTTTCTGCCATAATAAAGTCTAAATGTTGTAAAGCTTTACAAAAATCACAAGATTTTCATAGAATCATAAAGGTTGGAAAAGACTTTAAGATTGTCTAGCCTATCTGTCCATCTACCAGCAATACTGCCCCAGGTGTGGTCTCACCTCTATGTTTCTTATAGGAAACTCACTTGTTTGCAGTGATGTTCCACTATGCCTTTAACACTACTCCATGAACAAGGAGTTCAGCAAGAAGAACATACATGCAATCTGTATGTCTCCCCAGCTGGGCTCACAACACTGTGTGTGCATATAGCTTGAAGACAGAATTAAGATAGGGCAAGTAAGCTTAAATAAACTGCGTGTATTACGTGCAGCTTAGGGATATTTGCTTTTATATTTGAAGTGAGAAGGAGGTAGAAAGGAGTTATTTGTGGAATTCGAAATTTGTTGGTAGGCTGACTATAATGCGTAGGTGTAATGACACGGCAACATGATTCTCTGAATGTGTCATTTCCTTGGTTCAATGGATTTAGTGTAGGAGGGATTTTCCCCAAAATAACCTTACATGACTTTCAGCAGAAAACTTCATTTTGGAGACTACATATCATTAGACCACCACACTACTTAAAATACAAGTTAATAAGAAATTTAATGCGCCGTGATATTCTGATTTTTTAGTCTATTTTAGTCACAGAGATTCCCTACTGACAGAGAAGATTTGGAAAAATAGTTTTAAGAGCAGTGTGTGAAGTTTTATTAAATAGGAAAAAAACCTATCTGAATAGAAAAAGGAAAGTCTTAGTAATGCTCAGAGCAGCAAATATGTCCCCAGCAACTTTATGTTGCTTATCTGCTAGGCAACCTAATATGTTAAAAATTTTACTGTCACAGGTAATTTAGAATAAAGGATGAACAAAAGCTACACTAAAATAAAACAGCTGTCCGTGGTTTTTAGTTCACAGTTTGTGCTGAAAATGAAAAGAAAAGGGAAAAGAAGAACAAGAAAAAACGCAAAAATGTCACAATGGAAATAACGCAATGTTCAGATGTCCTAGGATCTCCTGCAACATGAAATATCTGCTAGATATATATTTCCAAACCAATAAAAAATATAGTCACCTTATCACTTGTTACCCAATCTGTTTGGAAACAAGAACTTTTATAGTTAGAGGATTCCATGGCAAGTGCTGCCAAAATAACTGTGCTGAGATGAAACAGTATAAGCTGTTCCAGATTTTGTCCACACTGGGGGAATTCCTTTGCAGCATCTTACATCTAGATAAGAGGAATTGAACTGCAGTTACAGACATCAAATAACTGAAAACGTTTCTTGCTTAACCTTGCTCCCTCAGAGAATTCTCCCTTTGCAGATCATGTCTCAGTGCTAAACCTCCCTTGAGCAGCAGGCAGTCGTAATCTTTTCAAACAGCAGTAACATTTGGAACTTGCTGTGATATGAATAAATTGTAACTTAACTTAATTGTCCAGGACATATTGTAAGATAAAACAATCAATGCCCTTTTGAACATTCTGTCATTTTTAGCTGCTGCACAGGAGGGAATTAAATGACCTGAAGGCAAACTAAATGTGAGAGAAATCCAGCAGTAAGTCTAAGGTAAAGAAATTACCCATGAAAGTAAGCACAGAGTAGAATGGGAGAAAAGAACTCCGAACACAAATAGATGTAATGCTACTGTGCCAAGACATATGAAAACAAACAGCAAATGAATGTTGAAATCAGTTAAAAAAAGATATCAGGTAAAAAAATTAATAAACATGCAAAAGTCTCTGTGGAGTTATTTTAGTATTTCTACACAATATCCTGCTTTCTTTAAAAAAAAAAAGTAGATGTAAAGTTTGCTATTGAAATCAGACACAGCAGTCAATAGGGAAACAGACAACATGAATAAATGCCTCCTCGTATTGCGTTTGTTTGGGTTGGCAAACATTACTTTGTTACTATTGGTGAAGAGTCCAAACTTACCTTCACATTCACCTCTCCTGTTCATCTGGTACCCACTGTCACAATATTCACATCTATACGAGCCAACAGTATTTATACAGAAACCTTCCCCACAAGTATGAGGTCGTGAACATTCATCAAAATCTGCAGAAATGAAAAAAAGATGTTAAGACAAACTCTGCTCCACCATGAAGTAAACAAATGCTCGCATCATCCCTAAACTCCTCTCTAAGTAAACATTAGTAAATAAGGTTAGATTTTCCAACTGTTTGCAGGTCACAGCCCTAAAATCCTTTTTATTGAGCAGTTTTGTCTTTACCTCGTTGCTTGTAATTGAAGAGAGAATAAGTTCTAGAAACAGTCAGGTGGTAGGAAGAAGGTAGTGATCAACCCTGTGATTGCAAACACATTACTTGACACTGGGTGCATCTTGTGCTCAAGGCAGCACTAACCTGAGGAAGATCATAGCACCTTCATCTGCTTCTGTTACTCTGCAGCATCCTTGGATGTTTGCAGTTAACGTCCAGAAATATGGTTTGTTACAACTGCTACTGACTGAGAGAGTTGGGAATATTTTTATTTCCCATCACATAAGGTGTTTGTACTAAATGGTAGTTTTCCTAAATAAATATGATACTGAATGTTTTTTTGTCTTTTTTCCAACAACAGATCAGTAGGACAACTCACTCAAATCCCCTCCACAACACCTAGTGAGAGACAGGTAAAAATACTTCCTGACATCAGTCCAATACCAATGTCATGGAGGAAAAAAGGCAAAAGGAGATTTCAGGGAAGTTTAGATAAGTTTCCCAATTCCTTTTTTTTTTTTTTTTTTTTTTTTTTGTAGAGGAGAGCAGCAATTACCAACGCAGTCAGTTCCATGTTCACTGGCCATGAATCCAGCTTGGCAAATGCATAGGAAACTTCCCTCAGTATTTTCACAGCGTCCAAGGGAACAGAGATGAGGTGTCTGATTACACTCATTAATATCTATAAAAGAAATCATAATATAAGACTGTAGAATAACATAGTTGTGATTCAGTCAATGCTCACATGTGACGCTTTTGAAAAGACTGTCCTGTAATTTTTGTAACTATTTGAAAAGATGCACTGAATGGTTTTGGTTGGAAAAAACTACTCTTATTGGCTTAGACTATATGACTTCAGGCATTGGCCTGAAGAACGTGACATGATTACTATTCAAATCACTGCACTGAGTGTAAGCGGACATAGAACATAAATACAATTCAGATGAAATGGAAGGATTTTAAGTTGCCATTTGGCTGCATGTGTGCATGCAGATTATTCTTTAAATATGATAGTTGCACGTGATAGTATGTGTATCACTGTGAAGATACTGGATTTCTGGTAGCATGAAAAACTGATGGTATACAATCTGGAAATATGATATAATTAAGCCTTCCTGATCCGAGTTACAGAGAAACCAGCATTCTCTGAAAGGAGGAAAGATATCGATTCAGCTGCTTCCAAATCTGAAATGGCTCATTCAGAGCCAGCCTGGGCTCCTCCTCATTCTCATCAGAGCTCCCTGTTCCACAATTTAGTAGCTTTGAGGGGACAAAGACCTCACTTACAGATCTGTTAATGTGCTTCTGGGATGCCTACAGTATTCCTTCTCTTTTTCTGCAAGTGATTGGAAAGGAAAGGCCTAACAAAATGACTGGATTTAGTCCAGATGCAAAAGCTGGTTGTTTGTTAAATCATTCTGAGAAACAGGCACTACTTTGGCTGCTCCTTCTCTGAACAGAAGTGTGTTTTTTCCAAGCAGTTTGGCAATTTTACATACTTTGATTCCAAACTGAGAAGAGATGGTCTGTCTCATCTCACAAAGAAAAGTCTTTCATTCAACTTTAATTAAATTTACATTCAGTTCTGAGTGGTGAAAAGCTGTATCAGAGACAAGCTGGGAAACTTCATTTGACATACAAGAACTAGTTTCTGTGTAGTTAGGAAGCATTTGGTAGAGGAAGCAGCTCCTGATTGCTCTATAGCAAATCCCTCCTGATTAGACTCTACATTTCGAACATTTCATAACACAATTATTTCAGATCTTTGAAAGCATCCATTCATACCAGAGCATTTTGTCTGCTGATCATTAAGTCTATATCCCTCGTAGCAGATGCAGGTGTATCCCACAGGCAAATTAATGCAGTGTCCTGCTCCACAGATATCAGGATTAACTGTACACTCGTTGATTTCTAAGCAAAGAAAACAAAACTTCAAATTATACTCTCCCAAAAAGTTGTTTAAATGCATAATATTCTGTAATCCAAGAAAAAACTTGGGCCTGAAAGCAACTGCAAATCAACCCTTTGAGTCCTGAGCTTCAGTAATAGGTAATTTATCTGGTAGATAAAGAAAACATCCAGGCTTTTCCTAGTGACATCTTTTCATATCTCATCCAATATCTATAAATGGAAACAAAAACACACTACAAGAATATAAGAAAAAGGTAAACGATTTAATCTTTATAGAAAAGATTAAGAAAATACGCATGGTGGGTTTCTGATTTTTTTTTCTTTTTTTTCCCTTACAGAATATAATACATCTGTTACCAGCTTGGATGTCTTTGTAAGATAAGGATATACAGTAAAGGGCAGCACTGGATGCTCAGAGTTGCTTCAGAAATTCTCTGAGTATGCATGTTACTGCAAAGAATACTAATTAATATATCTGGATGTATATTTAATTAAGGTTATATATGAAACGGTAACTTCTAAGAAATTATATTCTTAGAAGTTATAATTTATGAAAGAAGGATAACAGAAAAAACACTAATATATATCTACAAGGTTAACTATAGAATGCACAACATACTGCAAGAAGGAAAATTCTAGAATTCTCCATAAGTCCTAGTGGGTTAAACCAACCATCAAACAACTAGAATCAGTTACTCCAAATGCAAGCATGTAGGTCTCTCCAAAGTAATGCCTCCTATTTATTTCTGTGGAAACTATAACACATACAAAGAGCACAATAACACAATCTGATAGAGCATAGCTGTGGCTATAAAGTACTCCTTTTCACATAGACACCACCATTAGCCATGCATTTTCACCAGCAGTGATCAAGAGCCTGCATGCTGCACTCAAAAGTCTGAACCAGTGGAGATGACCCACTGTTCACAACTGCTATGATAACACAGTTTCCAGGAAAACATTGCCCACACAGTCCATCCTTCTTTGGCCCAAGCAGATGGAAGTCAGAACGTGCCAAACCCTGACTATGAGGTGGGTGCAGTAGGACAGGCCAGTCAATATAGGCAATGTGCTCCACTGTTTTCTAGCTGATATGAGGCCTGGAGTTATCGTGCTGTAGAAGAAAGGTGTCTTCTTCTCTGGTCTGGTCTCTACAAGTTTGAGTCTTCATCTTATCACAAGGCAGTGGTCAGAATTATTTGTCCAGGTTCCAGGAAACCTAGAAGAATTACCCCTTTCCTATCCCAAAAGACAGTGGACATCACTTTACATGCTGAGGGTTGCCTCTGGAACTTTTTCTTCAATGGGGAATTCACATGTCACTACTCCACAGAGTCACAGTGGTGATATCATGTCTTGCCACTGGTAACGACGCGATCAATCCAGGAAACTGTCACCTTCAGCCTTGGTTCAGTAGGTCCTGACAAATTTGAATTTGAATACGGTGTTCTTTCTGTTCCTGTGTAAGCATTGGTGGGACCCACTTGGTGCAAGCTTTGCAATATTCCAATGTTGCCACCATTGTTTCCAATGCATTGAAGCTGATGTTAAGCTCCATACACAATTCCCAGATCATAATCCGCCAAGTTGCAACAATGAGATGATCCAGATGCTACTTTGTGGTGTGACAAGCAGCACAAGGCCATCTAGATTGTAGCTCACATTTCACGTCGCCATCACCTCTGCTGAAATGCACCACCTACTGCCTCACCACGCTAACAACCACTGTTTGGTTTCCAGAAATGTCTAGCAAGCACTGATGAACGTCAGTAAGAGCAATTTTTTCCACATGGAGAAATTCGATGACACGCCTTTGCTTCATATGCACTTTCATATCAGACTGCCCCTCTGCTGCAATCTGTGACATGGCAACAAAATGCAATATCGACAGGAAGGTTCAACCTCTACTGCCGTATCACCAACACCCATCTCTGACGTCATGGGTCAACATAGTAAGATAGGAGGCATTACTTTCAGAGAAGCCCTCATGTATTACAAGGAGAGGAATGGTCAACACTTCTAGTATTCAAATAACACACTATGTGCTGAGATAATGATAAAATAGGAGTTTAAGAGACGCAGTGATAAAGTAGGAATATGAAGACTGCAGGGCATGTTGAACTAGATCAGCAAGCTCTTATCCAACTATATAGTTCAATCAACATATCTATGAAAGTATCAAAGAGCTAAAATTGGGCTGAATGCTAGAGCATGAAAGGAAATTCACAGATTTGGAGCAAAGAGATACTAAGATCTGTACCGCAATATACCCCTATATTCAGCACTAGTGCGGCCACACCTCTAGTACTGTGTCCAGTTTTGGGCCCCTCACTGCAAGAAAGATATTGAGGCCCTGGAACATGTTCAAAGGAGGGCAACAAAGCTGGTGAGGGGTCTGGAACACAGGCCATATGAGGAGAGGCTGAAGGAGCTGGGAATGTTCAGCCTGGAGAAGAGGAGGCTCAGGGGAGACCTCATTGCTCTCTATAACTTCCTGAAGGGAGGTTGTAGTGAGCTGGGGGTCGGCCTCTTCTCTCGTGTCATTAGTGATAGGACCAGAGGGAATGGCTTCAAGCTACGGCAGGGGAGATTCAGGCTGGACATTAGGAAGTATTACTTTTCAGAAAGGGTAGTCAGGCACTGGAATGGACTGCCCAGGGAGGTGGTGGAGTCATCGAGCTTGGGGGTGTTCAAGGAAAGGCTGGATGTTGTGTTGAGGGACATGGTTTAGTGGGAGCTACTGGGAATAGGTGAACGGTTGGACTGGATGATGTTGAAGGTCTTTTCCAACCTTGGTGATTCTATGATTCTATGATTCTATATCTGACCAAATGAAATTGAACAATTTTTCCACAGGTGCTCCGGAATTAACCCTATAAGAGGTACTGATATACAAACATGGAATCACTTTTAACATATGGGACAAAAGAGCAACAGAGAAAATTATGCACAAAGTAAGAAATGGTTAGCCATGAGTATGGCAGTACAGATTTCCCTACACGCTTGCTGTTTCAAATTTAATGGCATCCAACTTAATGGCAGCATTAAGTTGAGCATCATAAGAAAAAGAAAGTTAAAATACACAGAGAATACTGAACTACAAAACCATGGCATAATTCTAGCATCTCTCATACTTTGTCTCTGTTGTTCATGAGTCAATAATTCACATTGACTATTGGTCTGCAGTTGCAGATTGAGCAGTATGAGGTGGAATTACTCATTTTTGTTTCTACCATGTATTTGTGGCCACAAAAATCACAATCCTGGGAGGGCCTGTTCCAGGCTCTGATGACAGCACCCTAATTTCTGTACTTTTTCTTCCCACCTCCCCATAGAGTACTTCTTTCTGTTCTACAACAATATTGTCTTAGCTATTCTAATTCTGAAGTAATGTGGAACAAGTTACTATGTCAGGAATTCACAGTCATTTCTTAACTTATTTGAGTACTTAAAAGGAAGCACAATACCTGTAACTTGAGTAGGTGCAATTACTTGACTTGCACTCGAAGTAGAGACTTCAGGAGCAACTTCAACAGGCAGAGGAGGAGATGTTTTCTCAATCACTACTGTGTGACATAGAATGGAAATCAATCATATATAAAAAACAAACCATTCCTAAATCCTGACCATCCACACATGATACTGAACTAGCCAGATACTATGAGGCTTTTCACTAGTTTATTCTGCTTAGATCTGGAGTAGAAAAAAATAGTGTAACTGGGTAGCCATCATTCTACCATTTTACATTTCTGAAAAAAACTGAGGTGCTGAAGAAAGCAAGAACAGAAAAAATCTGCATTTGAAGTTACACACACTTCTACAAGAAGGCACTCGTTAAGTTTTCTCTTGAGTGGATTATAAGGCTTTAACTCTGCTGACATTCAAATCTCACATACTCACTCCAGGATATCACTTTTGTCTACAGCATATCTTTGTTTCACATGACTTGCATAGCACCCAAACAATGCCAACCTCTCAATTCATCCTGCTTCAGCTTCCATGGCTGGTTTCTTTTTTTCCACCCTTTCTGCTCATGGAAAAATTGCTTATTAAGTTGCAGTCAGTTTTTCATTACTCCGTTACCATTGCTATTCTCCCATTCTTTAAAGAGTTGCAAGTACTCTTCACTGAAAGACAAGTTACCTGGAAACTGTGGATGCAGGTTAATAGTTGAAATTCCAGGAGAAAGCTGAGGCTGTCCAGGTTCTAGGATTTGCTTTTCTTGATCAAGTGAAACTAATTCCTAAATGAATAATTAGAAATTTACTTTCTGAAAATGCTGTCTTAATTCAGCTATCATAAGAAATCACGAACTCCTGGATTGAGAAACTGTTAATATTCTCCCATGAGAGGTTTTGGATAGCTAGTAATTAATCATCAATATAAATATTAAAGAACAAGGAATACTGTTTTTAAACAATGGCATTCAAATTAACACTGGTTTTATTTGAAGGAGCCATTTCATGGAGATTCTAATCCTATCCTTAGCTTCATCACTCCATAGTTCTCCATCTTCTGGTCTTCAATTGCTTAAAAACAGTATTTAATTGAAATTTAGCATCACACAAAAGTATACAGTCACATCTGTAAATCTTTGACAACTGTGAAAGGTTCTCTCTTAGCTATTGCTCTGAACATCAGATTTTCGTGTTAGATGCTTGTAAGCCTTTAGGAAAAAGGTATGATGCACAGCTGAAGTCATTCATAATGGATCCTATGATCTTCAGATCATAGCAGAGATGACCTAAAACTTCCAGAATGGAGGACCTAAAAACAAATAAGCACCTGTTCTCTGCTAAACATATTTCGATCCTAAAAAACTACGCAACTGAAGTAGGTATTAATGAGTCGCTCAGGCGGGCATCACAAACAGTCCTCACAGCTTCCTGCTGTTCGCCTCTAACTCACTTTCTGTAGTCGTCAGTCAGTCGTCAGTGCCTCTCCTTCATACTGCCTGCAGTTTTCAATATCCTCCTTAAAATACAGACTCCAGGATCAGACAGAACAATACAGAACTTTACCAACAACAAAGGGAGATTGAAGTCATTTATTTGCTGTACTTCCCTATTTGCCTGTTCTGTATGTATGATAACATCAGCACTTTTTGTTCAAAAAGAGTTGCTTGTTCCCCACAACCCCTAAATGCTCTTCAGAGTTACTGTATCATAGATTGCACACATTGCCGACATTCTAATTCCTACATATATTACATGATGTTTTACCTGATCGGGGGCTGCAGTTGCCACTAAAACCAGAAAGAAAAAAAAGAAAATTAATCAATCTTCACATAGCACCAACTTACACCATTCAATTTTAAACTACTATCACATTTGAAGATGGTTGTTACCATTACAGAAAGCTTTCAGACTCCATCCTTATTCCAAAATTTTGAAAAACTGAAGTAGTGTTCCTAAAACAAAAGTAAAAGCTAACCTGCAACCATCAAGGGATTCTGCACACCAACCAATGCTTATAATTATTTACTTAGCATTCAGCCTTCTTACAGGTTTCTATTTTTTTTTTTTTTTTTTTTGCTTCAAAACAATTCAAGAAACTCATTTGTAATTTATTCTCTGACTAAACTCTTACAATTCCTTAGGTAATATCAGCATCTGCGGTTATTTAAAGGTTAGTTAATTCCATTATCATAGTGACATGTAAATAATCAGTAACAATCTTTTACAAATTCATTGTTAAAGAAAAATGTGTTGAAGTAGATTTTTTTTAATGTAAGCAAAAGTATTTATGTCTTGTTTTTCACAAAAAAATTCCTTCGTTTTTAGGAAAGAGGAGTAGAAATGTCATGCAACTTTTCATTTTCCACTGCAGTTTGCCTTTTTTTTTTTTTTTTCGAATTTGCCTTTTATTGATGAAAATCTGTGTGGCTCTATAAGACCTTTTAGGAATGTTTTTCACTTGAAAATCAACATTTTCCATAGGAGGAAAAATCAAACATATCCCTCTTTGCACTTCAGTCTCTTCAGTATTAGCAGGGGAGGCTGACTAGCAGACCTGGGAGACCTGCTAATAAAATTTCAAAACTTCAAAATCTGAACACATCCCAAAATGGAATATGAAGTTCAACCATTTACGTGTGTCATGACTGACTCACAGCAAGCATTTGTGAAGGTGGTTTTGGGCTTTTACTTTTTAAATTATTTTTAAAACTAAACCTCTTTTTGTCAGATTCTGTGTTTCATGATTTACCAGAACGTGGCAATGCTTCTCATCACTAAATTGATCTTTGAGGAAACGATACACCACTTTTTAACAGAGAAAGACCCAAAGGCATATCTGAGATTATACAATCCTGCACAGACTGTATTTGAATGATTTATTCTCTCAGATTCAGTTTAGCACCATTTTTTTTTTTTTTTTTTTCCCAAAAGCAAAACCAGGAGCATTGACTCTAACAGGAAATAACTCCTCTTGCACAGAACTCTGCAAAATCAACTGAATGAAACTCTTTCTAGTAATAGCCAGACATACAGATAAGTAGCTACTGCTTGGAAATAACTTATTATGCACTCTGTATCAGCAGGTTTTTCAGGAAAGTATTTCTGCTTGCCTATAATTAGATCATGCTAAATTTGTTGGCTATGTATCTTCAATAGTGTTGCTTTCTGCATTTCTTTGTTTCTGTCTTTGTTTCAAATTCAGGGCAATTGCAGCTGTTCTTAGAGAACTTAAGAAGTTCTTAGCAGAGCTTGTAGAAAACCACAAAGAGTCTGCAAGAATATAAGTAAGGGAATCAGCTAACCATTAAACAGTCCAAAGTGGTCAGGCTGAGGGAGTGCACATCTGAGGGGGATGAAATGTGGCCACAGGCTGGTAAGACATGCCCAAATCAGGTGGTGCTACTCTACAGAGATACTAATGAGCCCTTCACCCTGCCACCCAAATATCAGTGAATCAAAACTTGAGCTGAGTCCTTTGTTATATTTTAGAGATAATAAACACTTTTACACATCATACATTTGCTATTTCTTATCATAAACGTTAATCAGACTAAAGCAATTTCTCTCTTTCCATAGTGCTCTCAGCATATGGTGGGAGCTATACGTAACTCCAGAAATCTATCCCATAAGATAAATCATCTATTACACAGAATGATCTGCCTTGGGAAGTGACTCCTTTGTCCTGAGCTGTACACAGCTATTGTGCAAAGAAACATACCACTGAAGACACATGCACAGAAAAATAGAAAGACTGAATTTTCCCACTCTCACCTTCTTGCACAGCCATGTCAGGCTCACTTTTCTGTGAGAAGGTCAGTGCCTCCACCGGCTCTTCCTTTGCTGGGAGAGGTGGAGGAGAAGTACCTTTAGCAACAGGTTGAGTAATCGGGGTCTTGCCAATGACAGGTGGCTGTACTCTAACTGCAGGGTGATGATATAGCTTGTTTCTGTGAGGGCCAGAAACCGTATAACCCATTCCACCAGGGCAGATTTCCTTAAAAGCAGCTAGATTTGGGATGGGAAAATATTCCTTTTAGGAGTCTAAAAGTGCAATATGTTGACATAGTGGAAAACATAATGAAAACCACTAATAAATTTAATCTGCTACTGTATACACATTTTTATTTCAAAAAATATTTAAAGAGAAACTGCATTGCATACTAGTATGACTGAACGTTCTCCTAAAAGCATGTTCCGGATGCTTATTCCTAGGTTTCCACTACAGTTTAACATCTTTCTTCAGTTATGTTTAATCCATCATTATGATCTATCAAGATCATTTTTAAAATTAATCTTCTCCAAACAGTACATCCTGAGTGCAAATTTAAATATGCAAATTGCCATTATCATAAGGAATGAAAATTACTATTTGTCACTCCATTTTTGCAGAAACTAAAGAAAAAGAGTCTCATGATTCTTGTACTAAAGGAACGGAAGAGTATCAATCAGAAACAGTATCCCATGTGATACCCATTAGAAGTCTCATACCAGCCCTGATGCAAATTGTACTGAAACAAGTGAGTCCTCCTAAAGACCTCAGCGAGCTGGATGAGGATCATGGGGAAAAAAAAGAAAAGAAAAAAAAAAAGTAAAACCAAATCATGACTGGAAGAGAGGGGCAACAATCTCATTTAGAAGGCTGCTATATTGCAAGGTAACAAAAGTTAGGCAGCAGAACTTGCTCTAATCTGCGCAAATGTTCTACATGAGCTTCAGGTTTTGCAGTCCTAGTGGAAGGCTTTGTTCCCACCAAAGATAATAGTTATGTTCTTGCCAGAGACAAGGGACTTTAGGAGTCTGGCACTGCTTCTTTGTTCTCACTGCTATAGGTAAAAGCCCATGTCAGGATGAAACACCACAGATGTAGTCTTCCAACTGCCTGACGTGATTTCTTACAATTTCTTAAGGGATGTACAGGGTGGGACATTGGTAGATTCACAAACATTGCTTTGAAAACACACCAGGGTTAAAAAAGAAATTAGACTCTAAAAAAAACCCACAAAATACTTGCTATAGATACCTCATCAATGAAATATTTGAATTATATATTAAGTTACAGATTTTTGACTACAAATGATATATTTGCAGTGAACACAGATAGTATATTAGTACTAGAGAAAGATGAAAGGTGAAACTGATTAAATCTAGTGGATTCAAAATAATGAAATACTTTGGGAAACATTAATATCAAATTTTGGCAGAAGAACACCCAATTGAAGGTGAGAGTTCTGGTCACAGAAGAAAGACAGACAATTTGAAACCCATCCCTTTGGATGTCGGTATAGGAAATCTTAATTGGGGTCATATTCCCTCAAATGCAGAATAGAAAGGTGGACTTGATTCTTACATAACTCATAAAAGTGCTCCCAGCACCTGCACATACAAATCTGGCCATTTTCAGTCTCTCTGTAGAACTGGCCTACTTCATACAAATATTTTAAAAGATATCAGAAAGAGATGATGACTTTTAAATGCAGTGACTCTTACAATAACATGGGATGCTGCAGTAAATACATTACCCCATTCTGGAACACCCCACTTTCACACATTTTTCATTGAAAACTCTGAAAGATCATTATGAATTTAACCTGTTACAGAAAGGAACATGTTTTTAAATAACAAAAGTCGCCATGAAATGGGAAAAGTGTTTCCCACATAGCTCATCAAAACTTTCTACTCACAGATTTTCTCCAAGTCTTTACATTAAGAACAGCCATTAAAATATCAGTATCATATTAAATGATGTATTTTTATGACAAGAAAGCAGTCACTGTTGTAAAAAAAAAAAAAAAAAAAAAAGATATATTCTCAGCTCCAGAACATATGGAGTTGGACATGAAGTCTCATGCAATATTCTTATAAAGCATTTACATTAGCATTGCTAGTCACTTGATGAAAATGCATTTTGCTTCATTAAAAGGTTATAAGAAATATTATCTGAAATGAAGCTGGAATTCAAAATCATAATCAGCAAACTAGCAACCCAATAATGGGAAATAATGGCTTTAAATATCAATTGAAATACTCAAAAATTGTGGTTATTTCCATTACATTCCATAAGCCCAGCTTAACAAAGTAAGGAACCTGTTACTTTCACTGCACCTCTGTTAGCCGTGGATTTCCCAAAACCATAAGTTACTTTACAAAATCTGAATCCTTACAGTATTCCAGAAAGATGCATTATTTGTATATAACAGTGACATCTTCAGCAGCAGATTCGGTATGAAGAGTAAATCACAAAACAAATATCTGTGTTGAAATACTGATCAGGAGGGACATTATATGTGTCACAATAAGTGATATTCAATGATGTTTTTAAGGATATTTATTTGACCATATACTTAGACAAGACACAATGTATACCAATTTTTACCAGACTCCAACTTTGGTCATTTAATTTTTAGACAAAGTCAGAGAACAGGAAGAACTCTGAAGCAGGGACCAGCAATTTTAACTATCAAACGCTATCATCCTTTCACCTGTGCCTTTAAGAAGTACATAAGTATTCTACTATCACAGAGAAACTGTAATAACAGAACAGTCCTAATTTACTGACAGACACTTATAATTTATTTTCAAATCAATTCTTGGATTATTATTATTTTATTTTAAAAAGCATGTGTAACAAATTTTTTTTAATTTTAAAGAGTGTCTCTTACCTGTTCCTGGAAGGGGGCACTTCTCACAGTTTGGGCCCCAGGCTTTTCCAACACTGCAACAGCAAAGCTGCTTGCTGAGCTGCACAGAAAGAGGATGCATGCATTGCTTTCCTGCACTAACAAACCGGTAGCAGGGTCCTTTCTCTTCAGCAACCATAGGACTATCAGCTGCAATGGAAGTGGAAGAGAGGATGGTACTGTTCACTGTTTCCAACATGTATCTACATGGCTGCTGAATCTATGTTGCTTTATCTTATTTATGCTTTTTTTTCTTATTAATGCTCCATAATTCTATGACTTGTACATGTGTAGAAACAGTATTTTTCATTGTTCCTGTTTTCTAGCTACTAATGTTGTCTGCATTACTATCCAGCCTGATCTCATAGCATGCATTTTGCACTTAATCTTCAAGCCCAGAATGTTAACCAGGAGCTCTGTGCAGAATTCCACTGGGCACACTGCATAGATATAATTTTGCACTGCATACTAGAACACTAGTTAAAATCTGCTATTGTACCACACTGATGGAAGCATTGGATTATCTGCTTTGCTAGGGCAACACAGGAATATAATTTACACTTTAAATAAAACAGAAGTTCTAAAAATTGTTCAAAGTTACTTCTCAGTCCCACATAAAAACCCACATCGGGTTACTGAGATTGTAAAGTAAAATGTCTATTCCTTTTGAAATTAAAAAATGGAGTAAAATAAAAATGATAAGAAGATACCTAATATAATCCACATTCTTTTGGTCATGCCTTGAGGTTTAGATTTGAAGATGTTTTGTTTCATTGACAATAAATGGTGAAATGAGCAATACCATTTACTCATCTTCCCTAGCACTTAACACAATAAACATTTTTCTCCCACTTAAATTTCATTGTACTTAACCTGTTTGAACTGCTGCAGTCTGTTTGCTTCAACCTGATTTTATTATACTTCACAAATCTAAGGCAAAAATGTCTATAGCTCAGACTTGGAAAAATATGCAGTTTTGCTTACATCAACATTATGTGTAGCAGTCTTCCACCCCTAAAAGCTTCAATGCTTTTACAACATGGGGATTTCAAAACTCTCAAAGAAGAAAAGAGAGGTGTGTGAGGGAGAGGCCTTTCAGCCTTCTATAAAACCAGAATGGAAGCTACCCAGGCTAAAGTTGCAGAGACGGAAGAGGAGAGTGTAGGATACAGAGCTGACATAGTCTGGGGAAATAACAGAAAGGGAAAAAAATGTGAAAAAGAATTACACACTGGTGAGAAAGACTCAAGAGGGTAGGAGGCTGAATCAGTCTTTTGAAGGCTTTGAGAAAGGAAAAACAGGACAAGAATCTGGATGGCTGATGGTCCAGGGCTTCCAGGAAAGAGACAAAAAAGAAGCGTGAGTGCTCAGAATGGCTAAACAATTTGAGTAAGAGAACACGAAAAAAGACAAGTACAGCTTGGAGCAGTAAGAGTCAGTTATATGAACTCTCATAATGAATTGCAACTAAGCATCTATTTCAGTACTTAGATCTGCACTACTACTCACCTATGCATCTTGATAGGGTAGGATCTGGCACAAATCCCAGTTTGCAGGTACATCTGTAGCTGCCCATGGTATTCAAACACTCACCATTAGGGCACACTCCCTGTAACTGACATTCATTGATATCTGTGGAAAAATTCAAAATAATCAGATACTGAAACAGGATTGCACCCATAGGAACATAAGTTCACAATAATTAACAATTGCTGAGACTTGTTTGATGAAGTTTGCTGTTACCAGGCTGGTTGCGACACTGTCTCTTCCAGGGTGTCACTGAATTATTCTCTAATGTCTCATGTATTCAGGTCTCTATCATGTCTGGTATTGGATCTATAATTTACTTACTCTTAGACAATCATCTAGATACCAGCTGTAACCAAGTCAGGCAAACTAGCATTTTATTCCAGGAGACAGTAACAATGTAGGTTTGCACCAATAATGAAAATCTCAGAAAGAAGGAAAAGAAGGGACTGAAGGAAAGCAAAGGCAAGCACAAGCCCATAATTTGTCTGTCCTGGCTTATCTCTAAGAAGAATAGCAGAAGCACATTGAAATACATCTACTTAAAAATGTTTATGCACATTAATCCTACACAAGACTAAGCTAGGAAAAATTGCCTACACTGCTGTATAGAGAAGATTTGAGCACAAGTCTGATATTTCAGTCTGCCTTTTGGAAATTAGGTAGTAGTGACCATTAAAGTACATAGTAAAGTACATAATATATATTAACTTTCCTCTTAGTTTTTATGAACTCTTCACAGGTTTGATGATATCGTATGTTGCGATCAATGATGATAATCAATGATGATAAGAAACTGAATTTGTAAAATGTAACAGGTGTGCTGGAATTAGCTTTTGGAAACCTACAGAAAGCATCTTTAAAATCTTTCACATTACTGCCTTCATTTTACTCCATAGGTTTGACTACCTGTCTGTCAGTGTGTTATGATATGACTTAAATTCACAGCACAACAGAATAGCAGTAGCAAATTCAGTGCTGATCTTATCCCTTAGCTTTTCCACTACTGTACCCAATCTAATCTTGACACTGACTTCACCTCTATGCACTTAGCCACAATTGACAAGGTTGATAATTTATATTCAGTAACTTTGGATGAAATACAATGGAAAAAACACAAATTATAAAAGATCAGCTCTGCCTCAAAGGAATTACTTAGTGAAATTCCCAGACTGTATGACCTTCTGACCCCAGAGGGAGCAGACTATTGAAAAAGGAGAATGGTAAAGGAAAAAAGAGAAGAAAAAACTGCTGAAATACTCTAAAGATCTTTAACTAGAGCAGTCTATGCTTTGACACATCCAATCTGAGCAGGAAGGTATCCCATATAAGCAGTATATTGTTTATGAATTTCACTTATACAGAAGATGTCAACTGGACTTGTTTTAATGCACTTGAAAATTTTTAGACACCTTCTTCAGTTGCTTAGTCTAATTAGGTTCATTATTTTGCCCTGAAATCTTATAACAGGACTGAAAGAATCTACAGAGTGCCAACTGATTCCAAAAGGAAATACCATCACTGTTTCAATATTGTATTTTCTGTGACTATTAAGGGGAATGAGCTAAATAAAACAGTCCACAAACTGAAGACATTCCTGAAAAATCCCAAAATAGAAACATACTGACACTGCTGCAAAGTTCTTAGGAAGAATGCATGTATTGTACTCTCCATTTTCAACATATCAGGCTCAACAAGGAAGATATAGATATTATTACAAAAGGCCAAGAAGCTAATATAAAGCAAATACTGAAACACTCAGAATCTACTGTTGAATTTTCTACATGCTGTGGAAACCTACTGGAATTTTAGACCATAGAAAGGCTTGGGTTGGAAGGGACCTTAAAGATCATCTACAGTCCCAACTCTCTGCTGTGGGCAGTGTTCCCACCCACCAGCTCAGCTGCCCAGGGTCCTCATCCAGTTTGTCCTTGAATCCCACCAGAGATGGGGCACCCACAGCTTCTTCAGGCAGCTGTGCCACTGCCTTGTCATCCTCAGATCAGTCCCGAAATTCTTCAAAATGCTTTTAAAACAAATAAAGAAAAAAAACAGCCTAGAACTTTATGCCATGTTGCTGCTGAGAAAAGCAGGCACTTATATGTATCAAATACATCAGCAGTACTCTGAGAAAATCACATTTTACAGTCTTGCCTGCTAATAATGAAGGTTCCATACCATGGTTTACTAAAGTGTCCAAATTGCAAAGAAGTAGCCATCTCCTTGTTGTTCATAAATACACAATCATCTTCCTTCCCAAATGATTCAGTTCTATAAAAAAACCTCACCAAAGCTGCTATTACTGTCTCTATTAGAATTTTTTCTGGAGAAAATATTCTTGAATGTCTAGTATTTAAAAATATTGTCTTGGATTGTCTGTACTACAGAGACCCCACTCATGTACACTCTGTTATTGGTATTTAATGTGAGCATTGCCATGTGCTCAGCTTAAAACACTGGTAAATAGCAATGAATATTCCCTCCACAGCTTTCCACAGTTCCTGGTATGGACATTCCTCTTGCTAAATTTGTCTAACTTTTTATGTTGCCTTCATTGTGCATGCTCTGATGCCTCAGCTGAATTCAATTATAATTAAGTTAATTATATTAATTATAGTCTTTGCCAAGTCATGTTTTCTGGATGAGTTCACAGAATTAGAGCTGACACTCTATGTTGAATTGCACAAGCCTATCTGGGGATTAAACAGAAACAAGCCAGAATTTGATTACAAATTTCAAACTTTCTCTCTCAAAAAAAAACCCCAAATAAACCATAAACAAAAACAAACAAACAGACAAAAAAAAATTCCAAAAACATGAGAAAAGTTTTTAGAACCTATGTGTGGAAAAATTGCTTTTAGACTTATCAATTTCATTTCAGGCTGTTGTTAAATGTCACCAACCCAAAATGTTTCTTACCACTTGCCAGCCAGTCCAGCTGTGCAAACTGCACTGGAATCAACTTATTCAGGCAGCTAGAAAAAAAATCTGGTTCAAAATTAAAAGATTTTATTTTTTAAAATCCATCTCTTTTATATATATATATATATACACACACACACATATATATACATACATATATATATAAATATGGATTTTAAAAACAATGAGTATTAGTTTGCCCCATTGTAAAAACTAGAGACAACTAGAAAAAAGGTAATGCGAGGAGCTTTTTCCACACTGCACCTGGCATGGCTTTACCACAATCTCTCACAGTAGGTGCTGTTATGCGTAATTAAGGAATTGATAAAGTGTTGATTTTGTTGGAGTTGCTGCTTGGCAAAGTGAACGACTTGACCCTGCTCAATGAGTATAAACTGCATTGGCATCAATGACGCAATGTCATTTTATACTGCGCCTTACTGTTTGCTGTTATTTAGTTTTATGCATGCCAAACGCATGGGAGAGGTCCCTAGCACTCTGCACTCCTAGATTAGGTGGTTCCTCTCCCTGAGTGTTTGACGAGAAATGAAAGTTTTACTTTTGTTATAGTGGCAATGGAAGCCATGTGCCATCCCAGAGTCATTGTTGATGATCCCACTCTTACCTACCCATAGTACTGTACGAAAGTTTTACCATAGCTGGACTTGACAATGATGCTGCAGTAGCATACTGATTAGCGTAAGTCCCAGCTCCTTCTATACTCTCATCCAAGCAAACATCTTGATATTCAGTGAGGTCAGCTACCACGCTGTCCACGAGAGGCACCGCAGTCTTTAAACAACCCAGATGTTGCAAGTCAATCACTTGAAATGCTGTTGGCCTATCTCACAATCTTCCTAAGAGCTTAAAATTCTCTCAACAACAATTAGCATTTGACACCTTTTTTTCATAGTTTTTTTATAGGTCTACTAAGTGACAGGTAACCTACTCTTAGAAAATGCAGTGCCTTAATGAATCACGTTACTGCTGCATTTCCTGGGGGAAAAAAGTAGCAGCCACTTCTTAACTGAATGTTTGCCTGTTTACATGACAAGTGTTGATTTCATACTTAAAAAAAACAAACAAACAACAACAACAACAAAAAAACACCACAAAATCTATCAGAAGCAAAGGAGGAAGATGAGAACAGTTTAAAATGTTATTCATTTACACGAGCACACGCTAACATTGACTTAGTTATAAAAAATGATAATTACCATACAACATTTTTCTGAATCTGAAAATAGTTTCATCTTCAAAAACTTTTGCATATATTAGTAACTAAAAGATGGAAATGAATGGATAAATAAAATATCAAATTTAAAATAATGAAATACTGTTTACTTTACTTGCTTTTTTGTCCTTGCTGATTTCTAAAAAGGGGAACTCAAAGGAATCACATTAAAAATTCGCCAAAACACAAAGGCGTTCTGAAAGCACATCACCAGAATCCTATTCCACAAATAGTTAACAGATTTAGATGAAGAACAGACCTGTTTTTAGCCATAAGCACATACACACATTTGGAATCACATGTTGTGCACATCACAACAGCAAATTCAATGTCATTAATCTAAGTGCAGACATCATAAAACACATTCTTTTCTTCCAGTAACCATGATTTAGGGAAGGACTGAATAATACAGGAGAAAGAAAGAAAAGAAAAAAAAAAGTAAACTTTGTTTACTTTTCTCCGAAAGTTCTTCCTTGCTTAAAGATAAAAAAAAGTCCTGTGGCTTTTCAGCACTTCAGTCTATATTCTGAAGGTCAGACTCTGTTACTCAAATATGTAATTTGATGATATATTTATTCAGCTCACTTACATGCACTGTACATTGGGGAATACTGACAATTGAGAAGAAAATACATGAAATGGTACTCTGAAAGGATGGGAGGCTAGAAAAGTCAAATTCTGTTCTGAGGTATTTAACTTTTAAAAAAGCAGTTGGCATAACAGGAAATTTCCCTCTGGCTACTGTATAGATATTGTGTACAAAAGGTCACAGTGCAATAGAATCACCCTCTCTTTCCTGTATGCCAGCAGATGGAAAAAATCTGTGCTGAAAGGGAGGAAATATTGCAGGAGGTATTACCTTCTCTTTTTCTGCTTGCATTCCTAATTGCTACAATTGCTTCTAAAGTAGGTCAAAACACTCCTGGGGCTGCAACAGCTGTTCTTTGAC